ACTTTCAACAATCTTGAGTTGTCTCAAATATTGCTAATCGATTAAGATGAGGACTGAGAAATGTCCGTTGAATTTGGCAACATGGATGTCTTTTGTACATTTTGTCCTCACAAGAACTCTACGAGGTAGGCAGTACTGTTGTTCCTGTTTTATTGAATTTTTAAAAAGTTTTACAGCTGTTGAATGTGTCCCAAGTACGGCCAAGTGACAGATCTGAGTATCGAACCCATATGTCTGTCACAATTTTTAACCACTGTAGTGTACTTTATATCATCTGGACTTTTTAGAATTTTGTAAAACATTTTTAACTATGGGAAAAATTCAGATTAATGTAATAAAGATATACATGTTCTCTACTCAGAATTAATAGATATTTTGCAATATTTGATCCAGATGTATTTTTTAAATTAAAATATTAAAGTTTAAGTCACTCATTTAGAAAAAAATTGAATGCCTACCTTGTCTGGGTGTTTGGAATAAATAGGTGAAGAGAAAGGACTTAAGATGGCAGAGTACTAGAGGACCCTATGCTTGCCTCATCCCTTGAACACAGTTAGATAAAGATCAGATCATTCTGAACACCCAAGAAATTGATCTGAAATAAATAGGTGAAGAACGTATAGATTCCTGCCACAAGCCAAAAAAACAAACAAACAGATAATAAACAATAACTATATGTTAGAAGGTGATAGTAGATGGGTGCCTGGGTGGCACAGTCAGTTGAGTGTCAACTCTTGGTCTCAGCTCAGGTCTGATCTCAGCGTTGTGGGATGGAGCCCCACATTGGGCTCCAGCCGCGCATTGGTCTCTGCACTCAGCCTGGAGTCTGCTTGTGTTTCTCTCTCCCTCTCTCCCTCCCCTCCCACGCTCTTCCTGAAATAAATAAAATAAATCTTAAAAAAAAAAAAGTGATAACTGGAATAGAAGAAAGAAAAATATATAGCTGGATAAGGGAGTCAGGAATCTGGGGCTGGGAAGTGGAAAGAAGTTTCACTTTTTTTTTTTTTAAAGATTTACTTGAGAGAGAGAAGTGGTGCATGTGTGAACAGAGGGAAAGAGAGAATCTCCAGCAGACTTCCCACTGAGCATAGAGCCCCATACAGGGCTCGATCTCACCACCCTAAGGTCATGACCTGAGCCAAAATCAAGAATTGGACGCTTAACCGATTAAGCCACCCAGGCGCCCCTAGAAGTTTCACTTTTTAATATGGTGGTCCAGATAGGCCTTATTGTGAAGGTGACAAGAAAACTTACCAGGGGAAGATAGTTACAGGCAATGGAATAGCCAAAGCAAAGGCCCTGACATGAATTCCCCTTTGTTCTCTTTCCCAGTCCATTCTCCTTTCCTCGCCCAGAAGCAGCTGATACTGTGAATTTGATATGTATCTTTCTAGTCTTTGTTTTTATACTTCTCCTCATGTGTATCCATAAATAATACTGAGTATTGTCTGTTCTTGAGTTATATAAATAATGTGATACCATACTTGCTGTCTTTCATTCAAATTATGATGAGCAAAATATGTAAGTCTAGTTCGTTCATCATTTTGACCTGTTTAGTATTCTGTAAAAATGCCACAACTTATGATTTTTTTCCTATTACAAGCACATTAACTATCCTTATACATATTTCCTTAAACATAAGTGAGAGTTTGTTTAGGGCTTATATCTAGAAGTGAAATAATTGAGCTATTCATATGCATTTCAGCTTTATTAGATACTGCCAAATTGTTTGATTGCTCACATCAACAAGTGTGTTAAAAATACTGTTTCTTCATATTCCCACCAGCCTTTAGTATTATCAGTATTTTATTTTTGCCAGTGTGGTGGAGTGAATTATTGCTTTTATATTAGTTTTCTAGATTACTAGTGAAATTAAACTCTTGTTCAAATGTTTACTGACAATTCAACTTTCTTTCTCTGTAAATTGCCTGCTTATATCCTTTGTCTATTTGTTTATTGGCTGGGTTTTTTTTAAGACTATATATTTTTTTTAAGATTTTTTTAAAATTTATTTTTATTTATTTGACACAGAGAGAGAGCACAAGCAGGGGGAGCAGCAGGCAGGCAGAGGGAGAGGGAGAAGCAGGCTCTCTGCTGAGCAAGGAGCCCGGTGCAGGGCTCGATCCCAGGACCCTGGGATCATGACCTGAGCCGAAGGCAGCCGCTTAACGACTGAGCCACCCAGGCACCCCAAGACTATATTTTAAGAGCAGTTTTAAATTCATAGCAAAATTGAGAAAAAGGTACAGAGATTCCCTATAATACTCCTTGCCCCCACATATGCATAGCCTCCCCCATTAGCAGCCTCCCAACCGGACTTACACATTTGCTGCAGTTGATGAACCTACATTGACAACATCATTGTCACCCAGAGTCCACAGTTTACATTAGAGTTCACTCTTGGTATTATATAATCTGTGGGCTTGGATGAGTATGACATGTACCTATCATTATAGTATCATACAGTATTTTCACTGTCCTAAAGCACCTCTGTGCTCCACCTATTTGTCTACTCCCCCGCCACCACCCCCATTCCACAACCCCTGGCAACTGCTGATCTTTTTACTATCTCCATGGTTTTACCTTTTCCCAAATGTCATATAGGTGGAATTATACAGTATGTACCCTTTTCAGACTGTCTTCTTTCACTTAAGTAATATGCATATAAAGTACCTCCATTGGGACGCCTGGGTGGCTCAATTGGTTAAACATCTGCCTTCAGCTCAGGTCATGATCCCAGGGTCCTGGGATCAAGTCCTGCATCAGGCTCCTTGCTGAGCAGGGAGCCTGCTTTTCCCTCTGCCTGCCGTTCCTCCTGCTTGTGCACACTCTCTCTCTGACAAATAAATAAAAATCTTTAAAAAAAAATAAATAGCGACGCCTGGGTGGCTCAGTCAGTTAAGTGGCCACCGTCGGCTCAGGTCATGATCCCAGGATCCTGGGATTGAGTCCCGCATCAGGCTCCTTGCTATGCAGGGAGCCTACTTCTCCCTCTGCCTCTGCCACTCCCCCTGCTTATGCTTATTCTCTGTCTCTCTCTCCCTCTCTCTCTGACAAATAAATAAATAAAATTTAATAAATAAATAAGAACTTCCACATCTTTTGGCAGTTTGATAGCACAAAGCTTTGGGGCTGAATAATGATCCATTATCTGGAATTACCACAGCTTATTTTTTCATTCACCTACTGAAGGACGTTTTAGATGCTTCCACGTTTTGGAAGTTGTAAATAGAGCTGCTATAAACATCTGTGCGCAGGTTTTTTAGTCATAAGTTGTTGACTCCTTTGGATAAATACCAAGGAACATGATTGCTGATCAGATGGTGGAATATGTTTAGTTTTGTAAGAAAGCACCAAACTCTTCCAAAGTTGCTATACCATTTTGTATTCCCATCAGCAGTGAATGAGAGTTCCTGTTGCTCCACATCCTTGCTACAGAGCCAAACATTTGACCATGTGATGATGATGTCAGTGTAGGTTTATCAGTTGTAGCAAATGTATGACTCTTGTGGATGGATTTTGATTCAGCATTTGATTTTGTCAATGTTCGGGATTTTGGCCATTGTGATTGGTGTATAGTAGTATCTCATTTTCATTTTAAATTGCAGTTCGGTTATGAGATACGATGTGGAATATCTTTTCATCTGCCTATTTGTCATTTGCTTATCTTTGATGAGATGTCTGTTAAGGTGTTTGGCCCATTTTTTCATTGGGCTATTTGTTTTCCTCTTGTTAAATTTTAAGTGCTCTTTGTCTGTTTTGGGTAGTGGTCCTTTATCAGATATCATTGGCTGTCTTTTTTTTCTTACTGATTTATATCATTTTTTTTATTTAGAGCAGTTTTTCCAAATGGTTTCTGAGAAACTAAGTTGACTACAATGTATTTTGTTGTCATCAACTGCTAAGTGATAGAATTAATTTCTGATATTTTAAAGCTTTTTTTTTATTTAAATTCAGTTAATTAACATATAATGTATTATTGGTTTAGAAGCAGAGGTCAGTGATTCCTCAGTCTTATATAATACCCAGTGCTCATTATATCACATGCCCTTCTCAATGTCCATCACCCAGTTACCCCATCCCTCCCACCCCCTCCCCTCCAGCAATCCTCAGTTTGTTTCCTGTGATTAAGAGTCTCTTATGATTTGTCTCTCTGATTTTGTCGTTTTATTTTTTCCTCCCTTCTTCTATGATCCTCTGTGTTGTTTCTTAAATTCCACATATGAGTGAGATCATATAATTGTCTTTCTCTGGTTGACTTATTTCGCTTAGCATAATGCGCTCTAGTTCCCTCCACGTCATTGCAAATGGCAAAATTTCATTTTTTGATGGCTGAGTAGTAGTCCATTTTATATATATATACCACATCTTCTTTATCCATTCATCTGTCAGGGGACATCTGGGCTCTTTCCATAGTTTGGCTATTGTGGACATTGCTGCTATAAACATTGGGGTGCAGGTGCCCCTTCGGATTATAAAACTCTTTTTGTTAAAGACCTAGTCTTACAATTTGTCAACTTTTATTTCTGTAAATTATGGATTATGACATCCCTTCAGTGCCTGCTGCCAACCTACCACAAGGTAGGAAGGTGCAAAAGATGAATTAAAATCAGAAATTCCTTATTAGCTTGTTAGTTTTAATGAAAAATTTGATTGGGGGAAAATACAGAAGATATGGTTACAGGGAACTGTGTGTGTGTATTTTGATAAACCATGCAATTTAGTTGCCCATATTGTTCCTATATTCCCATCCTGTCTAACAGTAATATTGTTATAAATATATAGAAGTGGGGCTGGAACATGTTCTTTTGTGATGGTCATTATCAGGTACTGAAGATCAAGCCACAGTATTATTCTGCTGACTCCTATCAAACAAAAAAAGAATAGAAAATAGTGCTTTTTGACACAAGATGTCATAAATCTGATTTTATCTAAAAATAGATGGTTTATGTATTTAAATGTAACAATCCTTTGGTAAACTTTATCTTCCCATCTTACAGATTAACAAATAGAAATATTATACACAAACCTGCAGAGTGGACCTTAATTGCTGTGGTGTTGCTGTCATTGTAAGTACTCCTTCAGATTTTAATTCTAAATACTAAATAGAATTTTGACTGGGGAAAAACCAAGTTATTCATTGATTTTATAAGCATCTTTGGAAAATGTACCTTTATTTTGTGCCTTAGTTTCCTTTCCTAGAAATAACTCTCATGTAAAGTGATATGCCGGTGTTTTGTCAAGCTTTAATTATTCTCTGTCTTTTTTGCTGTCTTTTCTTCTGAGGGCCTTTTTCTTCACAAATATTATTTGTTATCTTTTGAAAGAGGAAAACATCTCCATGTGGAATATATATGGAATAGTCCTTTAATTTCATTTTTAACAGTGCATTTTTATTAACATTGAATGGGTCTCATTATTTTACAACTGTAGTTTTACCAACATATTTAATGCTATTTCATTTTTTTTCAACATATTTTAGCATTCATAGCTTTAGGACTGTTTTAATTTCCAAACTAATATACATCTTTAAAATCAAACAGATATAAAGGAACTAAAGTAGATACTTACTACACAAGCATATATAAAACATTTAATACTCATTCACCTTTTAAGAAATCGCTAGTGGTTTCCAAAGCTGTCTTTCAGTAGGGTTAAAACCATCTAGTAAGTGTAGTGTTTTTCAGCTTGGATTGCAAGTCTTCTTTTGAGGACCATTCATTACTGCATTAGTGTTGCTACTTGCTGCTTGTTAGGTCATTGAAGCCCATAGGACACTGAATACTTACTGGACACTCACAGGTCAAAAAGTGTTCCGAGCCAACCTCATAGCATCTCCAGCCCTGCTTTCTCTTTCTTTGATATTTCTTCAGTCTGACATGTTACTCTGGCTTCACTGTCCCAAGGAAGGCTGTCCTGGGAGGCATTAGCATAGGCTTCAGTGAGCCGGCATCTGTGTCACCCAGCCAGATACAACTCACATGATTCATTAAACCAGAACACAGAAAATAACTTTACTTGAATGCCCTGATATAAATTTTTTATCACCCATAAGAACAAATCTTTTGTCATTTCTACTATTCAGTGTTCCAGTTGAATTGGTTATTTGTGAAACAGATCTTACTAATTTTTTAGAAAGTTCTTTCCATTTTATGAAATTTGTAAATATTTTGGTCACTAGCAAAAAAAAATATATCAGTATCTCTGCTCACCCACCATATCCTATGCCTGCCAATAAACCCTCATAGATAACTGTTTAACTGTACTTCTGCAATTCATTATACTAAAGAGGAAGTAACTTTTTTGGTTGACAAGTCACAGGCCTGCGCCAAGCAGTAATCTCAGAATCTTGCTTTCTAAGCCAGTAACTGGAAGTATTATCTTAATGAGCAGCTGCTTACTGAGGACACATGTTAGGTCCTACTTTTTTTTGTATCAAACTCTGGGCACATCTTCTCCAAAATGTATAGCAAGGGACAAAAAAAGTATAGAAAATGAAATAATAAAGACTGCCATTAAAATTTCAAATAATTATGCCACACAAAAATAAGCTTCTAGTGTTTGATTTTAATAAAGGCCCCCATGTGGCACAAAATATTGTAAGCTTTGCTAATCCTTTTAGGCACTATCTGACTTCCCTAACTTTGGATATAGTTTAGGGAACCTCTTATTTCAGGGGTCAGTGACCCATAAAAATAGTAACTTAATTGAAGTTAAGAAACAAACTGCACACATCTTATTTGTATTGCATGTTGCACGTTACATGGTCAGTCTTGAGGTAGCAGTAAACACTGACTAGTTCCTTTTGTCATTCACCTTGAATCCTTTTCTTTCATTATATATTGACCCCTAGCTAGATCTGTCCATCTTTCTCCTGGTCCTTGGTCCTTTTGATACCTGCACAACTAAAATACTGAACAGTTAGGGCTCTTCTGGCTTCTTTTAAAATCATTGGTCATTGTAGACACCAAGTCAGCTGACACTTTCTTGGTTTTTGCCTTTGAAACATTATTTTCTCATAATTCTAACTTTTGCCATTAGCCCTCCTTGCAGGTTATTCCTGATCCCTTCCATTCTGTATTTGTACCTTCTATATATTCACTAGCTGAATCCCCTTATTCTTTGGTCATCAGCTTCTAAGACTTTGTCTCCTGTCCCAGTATCATTTTATTTATTTCCTCTTTTCTCAGAAAGTCCCCTTTAGCTTTTCATATTTCTTCCCCCAAAGAATCTCTGGCTCAACTTATAAGCCCCTTCTTTCTCAGCCTTGTCCTTTTATTATCCTTTTACAGTAAATATTACTTTATGAGATGGGGATAAAATTAAAATACTTCGTGAAATACTAATCCCATTGAATTCTCTAAAGTATAATTATACTTTATATTTGCACTCCTCTTTCTGCCCACTTCGAGTTCACAATTACTTTTTGGGAAAGGCATTTTGTCATTGGGGGAAGAAAAAGCAGGCTTGAGGGCAAGCATTGGCTAAAGAATCTTAAACACGGTGAAAAATGTGGAGACTTTAGACACCCAAAGAGACATGCACATAAAAGGAGAAAGGAAGTAACATACTCACATGTATTTGTGGAGCAATAACTGCACTACTCAGCCTTTTAATTTATTGCCACTAAGATTGAACATAGGCTAAATGGGATTATCTGGTTTTTTTAATAATTATTCTATGATTTGGAAAACCTTTGCATCTACTCTCAAATTTCCAGTGGAATTTTTTTAGCCATTACTTGCAGATGTTTCTGGAATTCATGTTAAAAGTGAACTTCTTATAAATCTTTATAGCTAGGAAAAAGATTCTGAACAGCAGTGATAAGTCACTGAAGATGAGTATAATAAGATAATATGTTCAGTATTATATATAACAATAGTACTATTCTTTGTATATGAACATTGCAAGGTTTTGTTATTAGCACTTGTTTAATGTATGAAAGCTGTATCAAAATTCGTCTTGAGAACTACTTAGAAAATATACATTTTATTAGCATTTTTGCTGTACTGGCTCCAGTCTAACACTTGTTGGAGGGGAAAAAAATCAGTATTTTGAGGAAAACACAGTAGTCCAGAAGAATGAAAGAGGGCTGATTCTTGAACTTTCACATCTGTACTCTTAATAGTAAATAAGGTGTTTCTGTAGCAAATCATCTTTTCCTCGTAACTTCCCTTGCAGTTTCACAGATGTATTAACATTAGAAAAATTTAAACCACAATGTGTAATCTGTCATTGTATACTGATGGGAATTTTATACCCATATAATCTCAGGAAGGAATTGATCAAATCAAATTATACACTTCATCTTTGCACACCCCATGAAATACACTTATATGTAAAAATACATCATGATCTATTCCCATTTCATTTAGATTTCTCCATATGACTTGAAGAGCCAATATGACTGCAACGTTTATGGATATTTATACTTTGTACTCACACCTTAAATAGCTGTCAAGAGCACACAGAAAAAGACCTTTTAAATCAGAGCTTAAACAGTATACATTTATTTATCAGTGAAGGAATTAATTTCCCTTTAGTCCCTTCATGTTTATTTAATAAATGTTAAAATTAGCAAAGATTCTGAAGTACTCCTTACATAGAACATCTATAATACTGATAATTGACCCAGTGTTGTTTTGTTTTGTTTTAAAGATTTTATTTATTTATTTGAGAGAGAAAACAAGCAGAGGGAGGGGTAGAGGGAGAGGGAGAAGCAGACTCCCCACTGATCAGGGAACCCGACACAGGGCTCAGTCCCAGGACCCCAAGATTATGACCTGAGCTGAAGACAGACTGTTTAACCAACTGAGCCACCCAGGTGCCCCTTTTTTGTTTTTTAATAACTCATTAGAAATGCAGTAAAGTAACCTGGTAATTGGTGTTACTGTTTAAACACTTGCTTATAGTAATTTTTTAGCTTAGTTGAACTTTATCAGACTTTACTCTTACATACTATATGTTGAAATAATACAGAGTTGAATCTGATTTTCCCACAAAGTAATGCTCTAATACTAGGCTCTTTCCATAGTCTTGATGCATTATTTTTTATATATATATGTATATAAATATAGAGACAGTCTGCTATAAATATTTTAGTGCCTGTATACTCTATTGTGTAAGGCTAGTTAATGTATTTATATAATTTTGATGTGTTTATATACCAAATTAGCAAGCATAATAATTAAAGTACATTTTGTGATGCCTCCTTATAATGTATCATATTTGTTTTTATATTCCTCATAATTCTCATCCTACTCCTAGTACAGGAAAAACAGAAACTGTAGAATCAATTTTCATCACAGTCTCGGTACTCGGTATAGTTTCTTTGAGAATATTTTGACTGGTATTCTGAGAAGATCTTATAGCCACAGGACACCCCCGTCAGCTTGATCCCTTTTCTCCTTTTCCTCTTCCCTTTGTTCTTAGTCTTCCCAGTCTTCTTTGAGCTCTCATTATACGTCAGCCTGTAACACAAGAGGGAACTATGTTGACTGAAAGCTGAGAAATCTAGAGAAAGGTCCAGACTAGCAGCCAAAGAGAAACCATATGGAGGGCTATGGAGAATTAGATTAACTGGCCTAATTTACTTTATGCACAGCCTGCATGCCAGAAATGGGAATCCATTTCCTCACTGACTTTTCATTTTTAAAATGTAACTTTTCCACCCAAGCTAACCTTTGTAAACAGCCACTACTTTGTATTATGACAATCCCTGGTTAATTGTAGCATAGGAATTGAGTGTCTTTTAGTAGGTAGCCAGAGAGAGGGGTAAGTGTTGTTCTATGGGAATGATTTGATTATTTAATGAAGGAGATGAATACTTTGTATTACTTAGAGAAGGTAGAGAGTGACTTGTGGTAGTTTAACATGGATACATGCTATTCCTAGTTTTATGCCCTTGATGTTCTCTATAATGGAAAGCTTTCAAGATCATCTCCAAAAATGTCTGCTTTCATTTTATTTATCTGAACTGTCTGTTTCCAGTGAACTGTGGCCCACTTCCTAGGCAGAGACCATGCAATAGTTTATTCCCCCTAAAAGCTTTCAGTATTCACATTGTTTAGGGAAGAGCATGTTAAGTCCTGAGAAATGGTATTTAAACAAGCTCAACTTGACCATGATCACTAAACAAAAGCCGTCACTGGATATGGGCAGCCACTTTAGGTAACCATCATACAGATAGACACTCAAGAGAGTCACTTCCCTAGGGTACCAGGCATGACTAGAAAGATGTAACTAAGGCTTTTTGCCTCGGCAGGTTGTTTTTTTAGCCCACCCATCACTAATTTCCTTAGAGAAGTTTGTGAGCATGCCATGAAAAATGAAGAGATGGTTCCTTAGAAATTTATTGGTTTTCGGAAGTATTCTAAGGCCTTCCTTCTAACATTCCCAATTTGGTTCTGAGTAGTTGAGACCATAATGGAAGATCATTGAAATAACTTTTTTGTTTTTCCTTATAATTGTGGAATTTTTTATATTTAATTGAATTTTTATTGAGATATAGATTCATATAACATAAAATTCACCATTTTAAAGTGGATCATTCACTGGTTTTTAGTATATTCACTATATTATATAATGGTCATAACTGTCTAATTCCAGAACATTGCCATCACCCCAAAAAGAAACTTCATATCTGTTAGCTTAGTCCCAATTTCCTCTTCTTTCAACCCCCGGCAACCACTAATCTACTTTCTGTCTCTATGGATTTACCTATTTTGAACATTTCATACAGATGGGATGATATAATATGTGGCCTTTTGTGTCAGGCATCTTTCACTTAACATGTTTTCAAAGTTCATTAATGTTGTAGCACATAACAGTACTTCATTCCTTTTTATGTCTGAGTAATATTCCATTTTATGGATATACCACATTTTATTTATCCATTAATCAACTGATGGACATTTAGGTTGTTTCTTGTTTTTGGCTATTGTGAACATTTGTGTACAAGTTTTGGTATGAACATGTTTCAGTTCTCTTACATATATACCTGAAAGTAGAGTTACCATCAGATGGTAGCTTCTTTGTTTAATCTTTTGAGGAACTGTTAGCCTGTTTTCCAAGGTGGTTTCACTGTTGTAAATTTCCACTGAGGGCTCCATAGATTAAACTGTAAAGGTCTTCTCTTCTTACCTCATACCCAGTAGTCATTCAGAGGCTTATATTTGCAGTTTTTCCAAAACTTAAATATGCCTATTGTGAGTGATTTTAGACCTTCATGGACTTGTAATATCAATTTGTTATGTTCTAGGAATTTCTCAATATGCAAAATGACTACTTATGACCCCCCCGCCCTTTCAGAAAGACCATAGTGTTGAATTATAGGACCATATAAATTGAATATCTGAATCATAACAGGTGTTTGGTTTTTTTATTTCTCAGTATCCATAAAATTCCTCTTTTTGTTTGTTTTTTCCCTTGTGTAAATCTTGGATTTGTTTATCCTACAACGTTTACTATCACAGTACCATGTCACAGTGAAGTTTAAGTATTTGTTTACTGAGGATTAAATAATAATTCGATTATTTCTAAACCCCCCATACTTATTGCTGAGAGTTTAAATAAGAAAAATATATTTTTAGCGGCGCCTGGGTGGCTCAGTCAGTTAAGCGGCTGCCTTCGGCTCAGGTCATGATCCTGGGGTCTTGGGGTCGAGCCCCATGTCTGGCTCCCTGCTCGGCGGGAAGCCTGCTTCTCCCTCTCCCACTCCCCCTGCTTGTGTTCCCTATCTCGCTGTGTCTCTCTCTGTCAAATAAATAAAATCTTTAAAAAAAAAAAAAAGAAAAATATATTTTTAAATTGAAGTAACTTTACTCTGGGAATCCAGATATTTTCTAAAGAAAAAAATACTTGTTTAAATTTTTAACCGAAGCCAGTGATTTTTCCCCCCTCAGAATTCCTCATATTTTTGACAATTTTATAATGTTAGTGTTTTTAACGACAAGTAGTTGAGTGTCCCCAACTTAAGGCCACAATACATATTAAAGTCACCAAGGATCCTCAACACAAAGGTGTTCCCTCTAGCTTCCTCATCTCCAGCAACAGTGGCAGCATGGGTGACATGCAGGTAGCAAGTAGCACTGGGCTCTTGACAGTCACAGCCTTGACTTGAGGAGTCAGTCTCTGTATCTACCAATGACATTTTCACATCCTGACTGAGCTCAATGAGACAGGCCTGGGGAGGCTAGGAAGCTAGAGGCTCAAGGGCATTGTTATCCCCAGCCTCAGGGTTCTGCACGGTAAGAATGAGATAATGGTGCATATGGACACCACTGGTTGGTTCCATTTCATTGTAGAGCATTGAAAAAAAAAGTTGGAGCCGCTATTGTGAGAGAATTGTTACATAGCAACAATTATGAAGAAAGGCTTTTCCAACTCTCCTCTACAAAGCTGCTCTTATAGATCTGTCACAAGCAGGATTTAGATATAAAGTTTAAAGTCACTACAGCCCAGCCCTTTAAACAAACCTATGTGTAATATATCACTACAAAGTGAGTTACAAAGAACTTGTTTGCTTTGAATTAGAAATATCAATGGAAAGCATCCCGGCTTCCTTATTAATAGGTAATCCTAAAGCACTAAATACAAACATTATCAGGGCATAAACCATCTGTTATAAGAAAAACATTTTATTTTATTTGGCTAGCATAGTCTTTTGTAATCAAAGTTTTTATCTCCCTTTCCTAGATAATAGTTATGAAGTAGAAAGCCCACAATGACATACTTCTTCATGGTACCTTCTTCTTTTCTACTTTATTTTTCTTAGACGTCCTTAATAGTAATAGCCTCATATGCCTCTTGATTTGGGGACTTTAGCTTTGTGTCCAGGATAAAAGTAAATGCAATTTAAATGGATGTAAATAATTTTTATTAATCATTACAATACTTTTATTAAATGTAATTCCCTTACCTCTAGCTGTGCAGGGGCCTCTTAAAATCCTAAATTCGGTCTCATTCTGGATTATATCCTGTTTTTTTTTTTCCCTTTGCACTGGCAGTGTAGCCTTGAACAGGTGTCTTAACCTCATTTTGCATTATTTTTCTTGTTGGCAAAATGAGGGGTTAGACTGTATCCAGGTTAAGTCAACTTAGTAGTGTGAATTCAACTATGAGATGTTCTAAGTAAGAAGTTATTCAAATGCAGTATGTAAAAGGCTAATGAAAGAGACAATGAGGATGAGTATATTTAGCATAGAAAACAATTTAGTTTTGCTGATAAAGAACCATGGTGACTCTGCCCAAGTATTATTACTTAATGATCTTAGTTCTTAAACTTGGCAAAGAAATGCACTGAATGATACGGCTAGTCTAGTCACTCTTTCTGTGGAAAGATTACGGAGTACTCATTGAAATCAAGGGGAGAAACACCCCTCAAGATTCCTTTGCTCTCTTTCTACTACAGACTGACATTATATTAGCTGACATTATATTGCACTCCACATCAAAGCTGAGGAACCTGCAAAAGGAAGCAATGGAGTGATTTAGTACTTCAGCATTATACTTCTAGAGTGGTGGAGAGCAAAATAAAATGTGTATGTTGATTGTTTTTAATGTAAAAATATGGGGGGCATTGTGGGGAGGGTAATTTTTTTTTTTAGATTTTATTTATTTATTTACTTACTTGATGAGAGAGAGCACAAGGGCAAGCAGGGGGAGCAGCAGAGGGAGAGGGAGAAGCAGACTCTCCAGTGAGCAGAGAACCCTATGTGGGTTCAATCCCAGGACCCCGGGATCATGACCTGAGCTGAAGGTAGACGCTTAACTGACTAAGCCACCCAGGCACCCTGTAAAAATATGTTAAAACTATTTTGCTTACAGAATCCTCACTACAATCTGTGGACCTCTTTTCCCTCTTCTACATTATTTTTTACATTTTATTCTAGGAATAAGTCTTGTCAGTGAATAGGGATGTCTAGAAAGCTGCTCATGTGAATTTTAGATTCTTTGTTCAGATCATATTTAAGTAAATTTCTGAAGTGGTTCTAGAATAACATTTTCCCTTTTTACTTCCTACTTTTTTTTTTTTTTATTCATTGAGGAAAAGGTCTCAAGTGTTCATTTATAAATCTTTAAACTAGATATGGTGGGACGCCTGGGTGGCTCACTCGGTAACGCGTCTGCCTTAGGCTCAGGTCATGATCCCAAGGTCCTGGGATCGAGCCCCACATTGGGCTCCCTGCTCAGCGGGGAGCCTGCTTCTCCCAGTGCCTGCCGCTCCCCCTGCTTGTGTTCCCTCTTCCTGAGAAATAAATAAATAAACAAACAAACTAGATATGGTAAGGCAACCTGAGTTTCTTCTCTGAGATAGTATCATCTTGTTGTTAGCTAAAGGATGGATAAGTACCTGACTTGTAGCTCTGATTTTTCTTCTAAAGAGTTGGTTTAGTCTTTTTTTGTGTGTCTCTAATCCATGCCATGAAAATCAACGTAAGTAGAACCCATATATGCCAGAAAAGGAAATGAGAGCCACACTTCATTGTAGCATCATAACTATAAATCAGTGTAGAGGCTGGCATCTACACAATAACTGAAAAGGTTCCAAATACTTAGAAGTCTGAATTTAAAAATAGACAACAAAGGTGTATTGAGCAGCTGCTACTGGTAAGACTATATTTTAGGCACTGTGGGGGATACAAAGATTAAACAAAGCCTCTGCACTCAAAGACTTTACAGCCTGCTGGATGTTGAGGAAAGGGGGAGATGAATGTGTGCACAGGTAACTACAGTAAAAAGTTAAATATATCAAATGGCAAAAAAAGCACAGGCTATTGGGAATTTCAAAGAAGCAAAATATCTCAACCAGAAAGATTTAAAAAAAAAAAAAAGAGGGTTTCACAGAAGTGGGGTTTGTGATTGGCCCAAAGGATAGAAAGGGTTTCAAGAAATAGAAGTGAAAGGATGAGGGCATTCTGAGGCGCCTGGGTGGCTCAGTCGACTTAAGAGTCTCCCTTCAGCTCAGGTCATGATCCCGGGTCCTGGGATCGAGCCCCATGTCTGAGCAGGGAGCCTGCTTCTCCCTCTCTCTCTCTCTGTCCCTTTCCCTGACCTGAGCGCGTTCTCTCTCTCTCAGTCACTCACTCAAATAAATAAAATCTTAAAAAAAAAAAAAAGAAAGGATGAGGGCATGGTAGGAGGTACCTATAACATGGATAAAAAAGCAAAAAGAAGGGATTTGATGAAGAGTACAAAATAACTGTAAAGAGTGGTTGAAAAGTTGGGTCTATCTTAGAGATAGATCCTTTCATGGCAGATAAACTTACTTCAGTGGACAGTGAAAGTCATTTAAGTTTTGAGCAGAGTACGGTCATGAAACCTGCACTTTAGGAAGATTAGTCTTGCAGAAATCTGGAGTCAGATCTGATCCTGTCTTCCACCAGTCCTTCCAGTCCTTCAAAAGCTTCCAACTGCTCTTAAAGAAAAAACCTCTTACTGTGGCCTACATGGCCCTGCGTAGTACAGCCCCTTCTTATCCAGCCTTCTCTCACACCACCCTACCTTGTTCTCTTTCGCAGAACATTAACCTTCTTTCAGCCCTTCTCATCACAGCCTCACCATAGGACGCTGGTTGTTCCCTCTGTCCAGAATATTCTTCCCTCCCCTCTTCCTTTGGTTAATTCCCCTTCATAACTTTTAGAACCTGAGGAAACTTCCTCAAGAAATTTTTCTTGACTTGCCTGACTAGAGCAGATATCTTTTTTTTTTTTTTTAAGATTTTATTTATTTATTCATGAGAGACAGAGAGAGAGAGAGAGAGGCAGAGGGAGAAGCAGGCTCCCAAGGAGCAGGGAGCCCGATGCGGGGCTCGATCCCAGGACCCTGAGATCATGACCTGAGCCAAAGGCAGACGCTTAACCGTCTGAGCCACCCAGGCGCCCTAGAGCAGATATCTTTACAAATAGACTTTAATAACACCATGCACTTATCTTTCCTACACTTGTCTTGTTTTCAGTTTTATATGTAATTGTATGATTATTTGATTAATGTCTGCCTCTGTCTTTCAACTTGAAGATTGTAAGGACTGGTTCTTTGTCTGATTTTATTCACCATTATATACTCAGCACTTAGCATTGTGCCTAATTATAGATTTATAATATCTGGAAGTGAATGAGTGAATTAATGTATGAATGAGATTAATTAGCATACTATCCTTTCGTACTCCTTCCCTCCTGCCTACAACTGCTTATTCATCTTTGAAGTTTAAAAAACAAAACAGAAAAAACACCTATCCTTTGTCCTTAACTTCACTGACCCCCTCAGACTATCCATCCATTAGCAAACTTCTTAAAGACCTAGTCTGCTGTCAGTGATCCTACTGCTTTTCAGTAATCTCTTGCATTCTTATTCTTGCCCACACCATTTATGAAATTGATTTCTCAAAGACTCTAGTAGTGATAGTGTAGTTAACCAAAGAGTACTGAGGCAGTGAACTAAAATGATGACAAAGAAAATTAAATGGGAGAGACAGATGATAAGAGACATTACAACTCCAGAATCTACAAGGTTTAGCAATGTGTGTGTGTTGGGGGGACAGAGAATAATAAATGATTTCAAAATACAGGCACACTTCATTTGATTATGCTTTATGTTATGCTTCGCAGCTTGCATTTTTTTACAGATTTAAAGTTTGTGGCAACCCTGCATTGAGCAAGTCTGTCAGCACTATTTTCCGACAGCATTTGCTCACTTTGTGTCTCTTTGTCACATTTTGGTAATTTTTGCAATATTTTGAACTTTATTATTATATTATGGTGACCTGTGATCAGTGATCATGACTCACTGAAAGCTCAGGTGATAGCATTTTGAAATTATTTTTTAATTAAAGTGTATACTTCTTTTAGACATAGTGCTGTTGTACGTAATAGACTACAGTATAGTGTATACATAACTTTTATCTGTACTAGGAAATCAAAAAATTCAGTCGGTTTTATTATGATACTCATTTTACTGTAATGGTCTGGACCAAACCCACAGTATCTCCACAGTATGCCTGTATTAAGACAGGTGACTGGGAAAATACTAGTGCCTCTAGGGAAATGGATAGGAGGAACTAATTTTAAGAGGTGGTGCATTTGGTTTCATACCTGCTCTACAAGCTCCGAGGCTATTCCTGTTCGGGAGTAGGAAAGGTGCAGGCAGATTATCCACGTGGGTGGTTCCCCAGTAGGTAGTTGAAAATGTGGAATTGGAGCTAAAGACTGGTAAGGAGTCTTCCCACGTCCAGTGCTCAGAGTCAGACCAGCACCCCAACATGGACCCTGCGTGCAATTGGGAAGGCATTAGTGCCAAAGGGCCACGATCCAGCTTGCTGGAAGGAAACCTGGGGACATCTGTAAGGAGAGGAATAGGAAGGACCTGAGGAGAAACAGTAAAGGAGGGCGTTATAGATCCTTTGGAGCCAAGGACTAGAACTGACTTGCAAGACCTCTACCAATGAGGGGTTTCATGAGCACACTCCTTTGCCAAGATCTTGGTGAATAATCTTTTACCATGTTTTTGTGTCTTGGACATTGTTTTACTTGTTATCATGATCATGCTTGGCTGGATGCTTTTTGTTGCATTTGCATGTTACATGGGCACATTTCTGGAGTTCACTCCTCCAACTCTGAAGTGGAAAGGGAAGTGGCCTGAGGAGAGCAAGGCACAACTGAGGACCCAGGCTTTGGATGAAGAACCGCAACTATGAGAACCATGTGGAAGGGATATAAGTATCCCCCAGTAAGGACCCTGGTGGAAATAAGCAAAGATGATCCTGGTAAAGCAGGATCAGATTACAAAAATAAATAATTTTTTTTTTAAATGGTAAGGATAATGAGAGACCTAGACTTTGGAATCAGCACTGAAATGGTGAGAGGGCAGAGGTAGAGGGTGTTAAATGCCAAGTCAAGATGAGATAGAACCTGTGAAACAGCTGCATCCATGCCAAGGATGCCTGAGCACTACAGAGAAAGCAGAAAGAGGGGGAAAGTGGACATTTTTGAACATCAACTATGTGCAACACCTTGCTAGATTCTTTACATGCATTATTTAATTTGATCTTCACAATCCAGTAAGGTCAGTAGTGGTGTCCCACTTCCCAGAGGAAGAAACAGACTGGGAAGACAAGTACTTTGTCCAAAATCACACCAGGACTCAGACTCAGACTGTGTAACTTCAAAATGTGTGCACTTTCCTTGGCACAGTGTACTTCAGAAAGGTATGTATCCAACCAGAACACTGCCAAGGAATCCAAAGCAGTTATGAGGTTAAAAAAAGAAGTGGTAACTACCTTTCTGAGAACCTGGTATTTATCCTCTATTGAAGAAGGACGAGGGGGCGCCTGGGTGGCTCAGATGGTTAAGCGTCTGCCTTCGGCTCAGGTCCTCAGGGTGCTGGGATCGAGCCCCACATCGGGCTCCTGGCTCAGCGGGGAGCCTGCTTCTCCCTCTCCTTCTGCCTCTCTCCCTGTTCATGCTCTGTCTCTCTCTCTCTCTGTATCTCTGTGTCTCAAATGCATAAATAAAATCCTTTAAAAAAGAAAAAGGACAAGGACTGAAAAAAGCTGTGGCTTTGGCAATTAGGTGGTTGTAGGTGACCTTCAAGAAAGCAGTTTTTTTAGGATGATAAGTATGGAGACCAGATTGCAAGGACAACTACAGTAGACAGTTGTGAAGATACTAGACGTAGACATGTTGACCACTCTTTCCAATTTGGTTGGCAGAAGAGGAGAGGGAAGCGATTATAACCCTATATGACATGGTAAATCTTCAGAAGACTTCTCAAGATAGTGGAGGCTTGGGCTTGTTGGTGGCAAGGAGCAAGGAAATGTTAGGTAGAGCACTTTGGGGAGTACTAAAGATACTGGGTAACTGGCAGGATGAGGTCCATGAAGAAACTGGGAATGTTATCAAAGGAAAATTTGCCTATTAATTTTTCTTCTCAAACCCCTTTCACCCACCTCTCCCACAGTTTCCTTCACATGTTTCTCTCTCCTTGCCTTAAATGTATTATTTGCTAACATTTTGCCTTCTTAATTTCAAAAGTGAATGAACCAAACCTTGTATATTTCTCCTTCCAAAAGTCCATGTTAGTATTATTGATTTATTACTTGCTCTGATTGAGTCTTACCCTGCTCCACTGCAGGTCCTAGGAGAATTAAGTGTAAGGCAGCATTTCTAAGCTTGACCTATATACAGCCATTATGTTTAATTCTGGTGACTAACTTTTTTTCATATTCATGAATTTTACCTTCCCTGCCTTCTCATCTTTCATGACCCACAAATCATTCCTAGGGCCATATGCATGTACTTCACACACACACACACACACACACACACGTTTCTACATGAAAATAAGAGACTTCCCATTGTTCTAGAAATTGTGTTTGGACAATACATAAGCAGTACTAAACCAGGAAAGATGTCTACCATAAGTGAGGTGAATTTGAAACTGTTTCCTTACCAAAACATAATCTCCTTCAGCCAAGGGTATTGTTTAGATTACTTTTGTCTCCCTAGTGCCAAACATTCAATCTGGCACTTAGTACTCAGTATTTATAGAATAAATCCAATGAATGAATGGATAGGAACGACTTAAATAAATCGTTGTTGATGTTATGGACTTAAACATAGAATTGGTAGCACTGGTAAAATGGCTTTGCACAGGAAAAAACAAAAATCGTTACTTACTATAATGAGTGAAAGGAAGGACAGTAACCCTGTGTCTCTGTAATGATTCATATTTTCCAGGGTGGTTATGGTCTGATAAGGGTATGACTATTTAGCCTAAAAGGAATCGCTACTTTTAACCAAATCTAGCATTGCTTTTTTGCAAATAGATTGTTAAAAAATCTTTAATGAAATTAATGAAAAACAGTTAGAGCTAGATGTAAATGTGACATTGTTTTTTTTAACTCCTATAATTATAAAATTAGTGAATATTTAAATTTTTTAAATGTTTCTTTGATTGAAAAACTTGATTCCAAATACTGCTTTTCTCTTACCTTCCATGGACTTTATCTTTTATCTTCTGTGGACTGATAAAATAGAAGAATTGGTTAAAGAGCAGTTAATTACCAAGTATGTATGGTATTGTACTAAATCTTTTATTTATCTGGTACATCACAGACAGAATTCTGGAGAATTCTTTGAATGTTTTACATGTTGGTATTTGTTGAATTGGAAGCATTTATCAAATATTAATGGATCCTAATGGAAAATTTTACTCTAGAGGCAAACGCTTCCTTTAACTAGTTTTATGAATGTATTTTATTAACTAGTCTTGCAAAGTTGAATGAAAGTTTTAAGAAGAAATGATTATTCCCATGTGTATCGAGTTTGTTAAATTCAAGATCCTAATCACCTAGTGTGTTTTTCCTCTGTTGTCTTTAAACACTTCCGTTTAGATTGTTTATTATAGAGGCTTAACACCTTTTTAATATTCTTCCTGCCGCTGACTTTTCTCATTCTGATAGTTCTAGTTAACTATAAAGTCACTTCTTGGAGGCAAAATTCAAATGCTTCCATTTTACTCCTTGTCTAAATATTTTTTACAAAGCTTTAGAGAAGATTTTAAGGCCAAAGGGTAAAATGAGGCTTGATGTTCTATTATTGCTGTTTGTGTTGTTCCACTATGCATTTTGAATGAGGAGTTTGAGAGTTGGCTTTCTGTCATTTTAGTACAGCTAGAAAAGGTATACTCTTGTCTTAAAAGACGAGGCATATCAAAATATACACAAGGTTTAATACTGAAAATTCCACTGGAGCAAAAATACTTGAGAAACTACAACAAACTGCTTGGTGAACACCTGCAATTACTGTGGAAATGAAATCATGTTATAGTAACTGAATTGCCTGTACTATTTCAGAGTTCCATTTATTTACAGATTTTTCTTTCCATTGAGTTTTTCAACCCCCCCCCGCCCCGTCATGATGTTGTTCGTCATATGGAGGTTTTTAATTACAGTGAGTGGCAAATCAGCTGCACTGCAAAAATGTTTTGTAAGAATAAAGCAGTCACCAGGTTATAACTAGTATTCTTATGGTTTCATTGCAGAGAAAAATGTTGCTCATCTGAAAACAGATTTACACACTTTTCACATGTTCCCAATTCCTAAAACTATAAAATTAAATGCCACTAATTCTCTGCAGCTAAGGTTATACATTAAGATATATGGTTATGCAGTTGATCCTTGAATGTAGTGGGGGCTGGGGCACTGACCTCCCCCCCCCAGTCAAAAATCCACATGTAACTTTTGACTCCCCCTAAACTTTACTAATAGCCTGTTGTTGACTGGAAGCCTCACCAATAACATAAACAGATGATCAACACATACTTTGTTATACGTATTATATATACTGTATTACTACAATAAAGTAAATTATCAAGAAAATCATTAGGAAGAGAAAATACATTTATAGTACTGTACTATATATTTAAAAAAAAAAACTCCGTGTATAAGTAGACCCATGTAGTTCAAACCCATGTTGTTCAGGGGTCAACTGTACATTAAAAGTAGACGTAGGGGCATCTGGGTGGCTCAGTAGATTAAATGTCTGCCTTCAGCTCAGGTCATGATCCCAGGGTCCTGGGATCGAGCCCCGCATCGGGCTCCTTGCTCCGCGAGAAGCCTGCTTCTCTCTCTTCAATTCCCCCTGCTTGTGTTCCCTCTCTGGCTGTGTCTCTCTCTATCAAATAAATAAATAAAATCTTTAAAATAAATAAAAAATATATGTATGTATGTATATAGAAGTAAAGGAATGCCTGGGTGGCTCAGTCGGTTAAGCATCTGCCTTCGGCTCAGGTCATGATCTTGGGGTCCTGGGATCAAGTCCCGCATTGGGCTCCCTGCTGAGCAGGGAGCCTGCTGCCTCTGCCACTCCCCCTGCTTGTGCTCTCTCTCTCTCTCTCTCTGACATTTTTTAAAAAATCTTAATAAATAAATAAATAAAAGGAGTAAAGATATGTATTCTTTCCTCAAGGGAAAAAAAATGCACATTTGGAAAAAAAAGAACTTCTTATGTAATTGGAAGGAATATATAAACTCTTATATCTGAGATTAAGATGAGGAAGTAGAGTCAGCAAATGTAGATTTCTCTGTTGAGAAACTTAATCATAAGGGTAGGAGAGAGATTGAACAATTTGTTTTGAAAAGACACTTAAGCATGTTAATAGGGTGTGGAGAAGGAGCCAGTAAAGAAAAATAATCTGAAATTGAGAATGAGATGGAGGGGCGATATATACCATGGAACAGGGTCCCGGGGGAGGCACAAAGAAATGGGACCATGGTCACAGGCAGATGGAATAGCATGAACAGGGGAAAACAACTACATCGTCTGAGACTGGAAGCAAATAAGTGAGGAATAATGTGGCTATAGGTAAATTTGTAAGTAGAAGGGAGAGATTTTAAATCATGCCTGACAACTTCATTTTTCATGAAGTAGGACATGAACTTGGTCGGGTAGAGAGTGAAAATACTGGTAACAGAGTAGTCATTAGGAGGATCTGGAAAAGGCTCTGTGCCAAGGCCAGAGAATATTGGCCAGAAGAGGCCAGAGATCGTGGATTTGTAGCGGTAGCAGTCTCCTTCCTCCCACTGCCCTCCCCGCAGGGATTTGTAGCCATCCTGCTTGTGGCTGTGCAGAAAGCAGCTCGTGGCACCGATGCCAGCTTGTAGCTGTCGTGACTAGGGAAGCTAAGACAAGGAGGCAGGAGATTCAGACGAGTGCCGGTAAAAGAGTAATTCAAGAAATCAGCACAAATATAATTGGTAAAGGATAATGGAGTTATCTTAGGAAGGATATTAGTCATTCCAATCAAACATTTCTTGTGTGCCTCTTCCCAAAGTGTACCTTCAGCTCCGACATTTCTCTTAGGTTGCAGACAAAACTGTATTTTTTGTTGGGCATCTCCATTTGGATATTCCTCAGGCAGTTCAAAGTCTCAAATCTGAGTTGAGTTCATCTTTGGAAAGTCCCCTATTTCTTTTGGTGACATTTCCGTCTTCCTAATTATCCAGAGTTGAAAGCCGACTTGTCGTTGGTGCTTCTCTTGTCCTTATCCCCCCTATCTAGTCAATGCTAAGTCCTGCCTTTGTGACTTCTCTTACCCAGGGGTCTGTCTCCTTTCCCAGTGCTGCTAACTTACATCAGGCTTTCATTACTTGCCTAGACTGCTGCAATTAGAGCCTTCTCAAACAGGTCTCCTAGCCAAGTGTCTCTTCCTTCAACTTAGTCCATCCTTCCTCCAGCTTTAACAAAAATCTCACTAAAGCTTAATCCTGATTAGGGCAGGCCTTTATTCAGAAACCTAGTGATGCCCCACTTCTACTATGTAATTTTGCTTGAAATTGAAGGTTCTCTTAAAGTGGTCCAACCTGCCTCTCCAACTTACTCTCTTGTTTTCTTACATTGTGTCCACTGTTTCCCCCACAGACATCTTTGTTAGCACTCTGAACTGTGTTTAAAATGCCAATTGCCTTTTCATATCTATCTGTCCTAGTCTTCAAAGCCCAGTTCAAATGTTGCTGCCACCTTAGAAGTATTACTTAACCTCTCAGAGGTAGAAATAATGACTTCCTTGAATAAATTTCTGTAGATGAGACCATTCTTTTTTTTCCCCCAAAGATTTTACTTATTTGACAGAGAGAGAGGGAACACAGCAGTGGGAGAGGGAGAAGCAGGCTTCTGGGATCATGACCTGAGCCGAAGGCAGACGCTTAACGACTGAGCCACCCAAGCGCCCCTAGATGAGACCATTCTTTGGGACTCTATTACCTTCAGCTTTGTTACATAGCTGTTTGTGCAAAGATTTCATTTCCTTTGCTATTTGGTTTCTTCGAACTGTGTAGGTAACAAGTATAACACATAGTCAGAACTACTCAAATGTATTCAGTTGAGGAATTTACAGTGGTTCTCAACACTCATTGTTCATTGGAATCACATAGGAAGTTTTTTAAAAATACCAATACCTGATTCAGAGATTTCAATTCATTGGTCTGGGGGTGGGGCCTGGACATATGTAGTTTTTAAGTTCCACAAGTGATTGTAATTTGTAGAGACAGAATTCAGAACCACTGTCTTTAATTCTGGGGCAGTTATTAGTGTACCAGAGCTATGCTAAATCAGTTGATTTGTCTGTGTCTGCTAGGATTTGCTTGCTTTAAGGCAGTTCTTAGCTTTCTTCTAAAGTCTTCTTTAGTTAATGGTGTTGGAAGGTGCTTTTTGGCTGTCAGAAAAGATGAATTAGAAACAATAGACTTGTCAGTTTTCATTAGCACATTTTATTTTGTAATGATAGATTTCAGAAATTTGAAGAACATATACAAGTGGGCCTTTGAAATCATAAGGTATACTCAGTTCTTAAAATTAATCAGATATGTGAGCTTGTGTGGTATAGTGGTTAAAAGTGTGGACTAGTGGGAGTACTTCTGGGTTATTTGCTCATCTCTTACTGACTGTGTGACCTTAAGAAAGTCACATCAGTCACAAAGCCTCACCTTGGAGTTCACACTTGCTGCAACTTCACAGAAAGGTTAAAGACCAACTAAGTCTCATAAAGGGGGAAAAAAAATCTTTTTATAAATTTGGAAATCACTGAAGTTTCATATATTTGACTCAGAGGTTGAGATCCTGCCACAAAGGGAACAACTGGGAAAAAGAACTGGCATTTCTTCAAGGGAAACAAATTCATTTACTCCCATTTAGAAAGCCACCCACTACCCCTATTAAAGTATCTGAATTCCTTGTCAGTTGTAAAACCATGTTTACTCTCTACATAAAAACAACATCAACAGCAGTTGAGGAAAGTGCCACAAGGTGGTTATCTCTGCACATGAGCCAGTCCGTGTTGATGGATGGAAAAAGAAAAGCTGTTCCTCAGGGTGGCTTTTTTGGTTCTTTCCCTGTGCCCAAGTGTGTTTTGTCACTTCAGGGAGGAAGTCAGGGGCCACAGATGACACAAATGTTTTTAGAGAATCACTGACAGAGTTGAATATTCTTCATTCTCCCCAGTAAGAAACAAGCAAGGTGAAAAAAGAGTTACGTTAAACATGAAATCCTAATTACTAACATGCTAAGGAGCCCTGAAGTAGACCGATAAAATTCCTTGTCAAAGTTTATACTAGTAAATTTTTTTAAATCTGAGAGATAACATTTTGCAAAATGTCTTGGGTTTGTGTGAGCCCTCAAATTTCTGAAAATAGATGACATTTTGACCCAACGTGTTACAAACTGGTCACAGCTCTCTTTTGTTTCAGTTTTGAGTGTGTGTATGTACAGACAGAGGTGTTCTGGTTTAATCCTTTATCATTTAGCATTTGAAGGGAAGATCCCAACTCATTTTTTAGAAGATAAAGTATGGGTGAAGTGACAATTGTTACCGCAGGAAGAAAGGAGTAACAAGACTTGATCGGTAAGCAAGATGCCTTTGTGATAAAGGTGTCCGCTTTTAGCACTGTTCTTAGCCTTTGTGACCCTGGATAAATCCCTTACCCAGTCCAAAGCCTGAGATACAGTCACCTGTCAAAAGGACACTTGCTGGATAGGTTGAGACTAAATCCCACTTGAGGAAACAAAGTGGTGGAATAGCCTTATAAAATAAGACTATGCAGCTAAACCTCCACTTTTCGAGTCTGCACTTCCCCTGGCCATTATTGGTAAAGATGCCTCATCTGTCCTAGAGGACTTTTGTTTTTTGTTTATTCGAAGCCCCCCAAGTGTCAGGTATTGTAGTATCTGTTCTGTTCTAACTGGTAAAGTGACAAGCCTAGTGCCTGTGCATGCTGCTTACCTTCTCCTTCCCAGCACTAACTTCTGAAGGATCAGAGAGTGAGTGTTTAAAAATTTCTTTAAAGCCCAGCATTATCTTTTAGCAGCCTTGCATGTTCATCACCTTTATGCACGGTAATCAGCAGAACAGGTTTCCCTACTGCAACAGAACTCTGTGTGAACCCAGTCATTTCTCAAATCTGATAGGTACAGAAAAGTATGTGGCTTTTCACTTCCTGTCCCTTCCTCCAACCCCAAACCAAAGAGAAGCATGCTTTCTGATGACATTTATTCACATAGACGTTCTCACAGCTCGCTCTTCTCTTGAGGCTGTGTTGACTTTGAGGAGTGTCGTTCAGTGTCATTTTACAATAGCCCACTGTTTGTGATTCTGTGAGCTTGGAAATCAACAATAAAGACTCAGGAAACTCTAGAAATTGTTGCTTTTCTTCTAGTTTTGAGGGCAAGGTTGAAGGATGTCTGTGCTATATCATTTCAGGCAAGTGCCTACATGATCTTTACACAGATTACCCAGATGATTCAGGGAAGGGTAATCTGGACTGTGCTGTGATTTCCAGTGTCCAGGAGCTGCATTATGTATTCTCCAGGAGGAATGAGTGCAATGAGCGAGGCAGTAGGGACCACAATGGGGAAGGCCTTGTAAAAATCCAGGTTCATGACCGACTTTGATCGCACTACAGGACATGGATAACAGAGTTCCCTCGATTGTTTAGCTCTTCTTGCTCACTAAATCACAGCTTTAACTCTTTATATAGCTTTCACAGTTGATAGGACACAAACCAGGCACTCACCCAATTATAGGTGACTTCTCAGACACAAACGTTTGTGCAGCTCTAAATCCTTGGACATAATATGGGTTTTTTTTTAAATGCCAATTTTTAATTAGAAATCTCTCTCGTTTCAGTTGTCAGACTTTGAAAGTCCTCTCACTGCTGTGCATAATTCCTGTTAACCAGATGTTTGATAGCTCAGTGATAACAAATGGAAGGTGCTGGTCCTAACCTGACTTACATTCTCTCCTTTTGAGCTGTAGCGTATGTGGAGCGGTCAGCTAAATAATGGTCTTACCAATAAGATGCGGCATGCACTTGACTTTTTTGCTTTTGTTGTCATACCATTTACCATATGGTAAGGAACTAGTTACATAAGGCTGCCTGCCTTTTCAAAAGAGAGATCTGAATCGGTGTACTTTTAAGAAGAAGTTTCCTTTCTTGTTTGTGATTTACACGTTGCAAGGTATTATGTCGTTTTTTTCTAATTATATTCTCCAGCACGCAGACTCTTTGTGGTAAGCCATACTTTTAGTGTCACCTCTAGAGGTTTTTATTCTTACTTAAAAGCACTTGAAAGAAATAACTGAAACATAAAAAATCTTTTGTTTTTACTCACGGCCAATCACATTTTCTGTTACTTATTTTAAAGGTATTTCCTACCTAAAACACATAAATACCAACTGGAGTGTATTACTGTTATTTAAGTAGATGTAGTTTTGGGGGCTTTATTTATTGTTTATTGTGGCTTTCTTTAATATTCACTATTATAAGTTTCAGGAACAGAATACAGGCTTGAGTCCCTTTCAGTATGTAATAGGATGGGAGTTCCTTAATGAAAAAATTAAAGAGATAAGTGATTAGCATATCATGATTAATAGTGCACAGATAAGGAGTTAAGAGGAAAGGAGGAGCCTGGGGAGTCAGTTAAACAAAAAAAAAAGGGGGGGTGTTTGATAAGATCCTGAGATAGTACATCAAAAATAACATAGACATGAAAGATTTTATTTTGTGGTATCTTTCTGTGAGGTGGGAAGTATGTTGTTGTTTTGAAGTAATGAATTTGGACAATGTGTATATTCTGGGGCAGTAGTTAAAAGGAGAACCTAGAAGGGGGTTTAGGGAAGAATACTAATCTGAATAAGGAGGAGTCAGATGGCATTTATGAGGAAAGATTAAAAGAACTTAAATTAATTGAGAACTGTTTTCAAGAATATGAAGAAATAACTTATAAGAGCTGCCCCTCAAAAAGTTCCATGAAGGAGAAAATAAAATTCTGCAAGAGACATTTAGTTTATGTAGGAGGAACAATGGCTACAATTAAAAGTTTGTTATCCATTGCAACATGCTGTACACAGAGGTGTAGAATCCCCCCTCCTTCAAGATCATGGAGTTAGTTATTTGCAGTCTTGTGTAAAGGGACCAGATTATTACATTAAGAAAGGATTGAGGGGTGCCTGGGTGGCTCAGTCATTAAGCATCTGCCTTCGGCTCAGGTCATGATCCCGGGTCCTGGGATCGAGCCCCGCATCAGGCTCCCTACTCAGCGGGAAGCCTGCTTCTCCCTCTCCCACTCCCCCTGCTTGTGTTCCCTCTCTCGCTGTGTCTCTCTCTGTCAAATAAATAAATAAAATCTTTAAAAACAAAACAAAAAAGGATTGAGTCTGTTTTCTTAGATCATATAAATCTTTTCTTTGTATTTGTTTTTATTGAAGTTTAGTTGACATACAATGTTAACTTAGTTTCAGTTGTACAACATAGTGATTCAACAGCTCTATACATTATGCTATCCTCACCACAGTTGTAGCTACCATTTGTTACCACACTACGCTATTATAATACCATGGACTATATTCCCTATGTTGTACCTTTTATTCCTGTGACTTTTACCTCCTGTATCCCACTTCCCCTCACCCCTCTCCTCTCTGGCAACCATCAGTTTGTTCTCTGTATTTTTAAAGATTGATTGATTGGTTTGACACAGAGAGAGCACAAGCAGGGGGAGCGAGAGGGTGGAGAAGCAGGCTCCCCACAGAGCAGGACGCCCGAAGGCAGATGCTTAACCAACTGAGCCACCCAAGCACCCCTGTTTTGTTTTTTTCTTTCAATTCCACATATAAGTGAAATCACATGGTACTTGTTTTTCTCTTTTTCCACTTAGCATAATGTCCTCTAGATCCATCCATGTTGTTGAAAATGTCAAGATCTCATTCTTTTTTATGGCTGAGTAATAATCCATGGTGTGTGTGTGTATGCACATGCATACCCATCTTCATTATCCGTCAGTGGACACTTGGGTTGCTTCCATATCTTATCTTGGCTATTGTAAATAATGGTGCAGTAAACATAGGGGTACATATCTCTTTTTGAAATACTGTTTTGTTTTCTTTGGGTAAATACCCAGTAGCGGAATTACTGAATTATGTGGGATTTCTATTTTTTATTTTTTAATGACCTCCATACTGTTTTCGCCAGTGGCTGTAACCAATTTACATTCCCACCAAACAGTTCATGAGGGTTCCTTTTTCTCCACATTCTTGCCAATGCTTGCTATTGTTGTATTTTTGATTCTAGCCAATCTGACAGGTGTAAGGTGGTATCTTTTCGTAGTTTAGATTTGTATTTCCTTGATTAGTGATGTTGAGCATCTTTTCATCTTCCTGTTGGCCATGTGTAGGTCTTCTTCGTAAATATTTGTCTTTAGGTCCTCTGCCCATTTGTAAATCAGATTGTCCTTTTGTTTTGGTGTTGAATTGTATTAAGTTCTTCATATATTTTGGATATTAACCCTTTATCAGATATATCCTTTGCAAATATCTTCTCCCATTCAGTAGATTGCCTTTTAGATTTTTGCATCCATGTTCATCAGACATACTGGCCTATAGATTTCTTTGTATATAGTGTCTTTGTCTAGTTTTGATATCAGGATAATGCTGCCTTCATAGAATGAATTTGGAAGTTTTCCTTCCTCCTGTTTTTTTTGGAATCATTTGGAAAGAGTACTTATTAACTCTTATTTAAATGTTTGTAGAATTCACCTGTGAAGCTTATCTAGTCTTGGACTTTTGTTATTGGGAGATTTCTGATTACCCTATTTAGTTTTGTTACTAATAATTAGTATGTTCACATTTTGTATTTCTTCCTGATTCACTTTTTTGGAAGATTGTATATTTCTAGAAATTTATCCATTTCTTCTAAGTTGTCTAATTTATTGGCATATAATTTTTCATAGTAGCTTCTTACAATCCTTTGTATTTCTGTGTTGTCTGCTTTTACTTCTCATTCATTTCTAATTTTACTTATTTGAGTCCTCTTTTTTTCTTTTGATGAATCTGGCTAGAGGATTATCAATATTACTTATCTTTTCAAAGATGCAGTCTTAGTTTCTCCATTGATTTTTTTTTCCTTTTTTTTTTTTTTTTAGTCTCCATTTCATTTAATCCTGCTCTGATCTTATTGTTTCCTTCCTTCTACTAATTTTGGGCCTTGTTTAGTCTTCTTTTTCTAGTGCTTTTAGGTATAAGGTTTGATTTTTTACCTGAGATTTTTCTTGGGTCTTGGTAGACCTGTATCACTGTAAACTTCCCTCTTAGAACTGCTTTTGTTGCATCCCAGAGATTTTGGGCCATTGTATTTTCATTTCTATTTATCTCCATGTATTTTTTAATTTCCTCTTTGATTTCTTGGTTGACCCTACTTGTTTAGGAACCTGTTGTTTAGCCTCCATATGTTTATGTTCTTTCCAGACTTTTTTTCTTGTATTTGAGTCCTGGTTTCATATGATTGTGGTTGGAAAAGCTGCTTGATATAATTTCACTCTTTAATTAAACTTACTGAGATTCATTTTATGGCTTAACATGTGATCTGGAGAATGTTCTATGTGCACTTGGAAAGAATGTGTATTCTGCTGCTTTGGAATGAAATGTTCTGGGCATATCTCTTAAGTCCATCTGATCTAATGTATTATTCCAAGCCACTGTTTCCTTATTGATCTTTTGTCTGGATGATCTATCCATTGATGTAAGTACGATGTTAAAATCCTCTACTATTGTTGTATTACTGTTATTTTCTCCCTTTATGTCTGTTAATATTTGCTTTATTTATTTAGGTGTTCCTGTGTTGGGTGCATAGATATTTACAATTGTTATATCCTCTTGTTGGATTGATCCCTTTATCACTGTGTAATGTCCTTCTTGGTCTTCTATTACGGTCTTTGTCTTAAACTCTCTTTTGTATAAGTATTGTTACCTCGGCTTTTTTTTTTGCACTTTCATTTGCATGGTCATATGTTTTTCCATCCCTTTACTTCCAGTCTGTTTGTGTCTTTCAATCAGAGGTGAGTTTCCTGTACGCAGCATAATAGATGGGTTTGTTTTTTTTTTTAACCCAATCAGTCACCCTATGTCTTTTGATTGGAGCATTAGAACATATACATTTAAAGTAACCATTGATAGGTATGGACTTATTGCCATTTTGTTAATTGTTTTCTGGTGGTTTTTATAGTTCTTCTCTGTCCATTTCTTCTTTTGCTCTCTTCCCTTGTGATTGATGGCTTTCTTTAGTTTTAGGCTTGGATTCCTTTAATTTTTTTGTGTATCTGTTAAAGGATTTTGGTTTGTGGTTATCATGAGCTTCATATATAACATCCTAATTGTATTACAGTCTATATTAACTTTATGGTTGCTTAAGTTCAAACTCATTCTGAAAGCACTACATTTTTCCTATTCATGTTTTATGTATATGCTATATTTTACATCCTTTTATTTTCTGAGTCCTATAATTTTTTAGATATAATTGATTTTACTACTTTTTAAAAAATTATAATTCAGTGTAGTTAATATACATTGTTATATTAGTTTCAGGCATATAATAATAGCAATTCAACAATTCCATATATTACTCAGTGCTCATCACAGTAAGTGTACTCTTAACCCCCCTCACCTATTTCACCCATGTCCCCTCTGGTAACCCTCTCTTTGTTCTCTATAGTTAAGATTCTGGTTTTTTGGGGGTTGTCTTTTTTCCCCCCCTTTGTTCATTTGTTTTCTTTATTAAATACTACATATGAGTGTAATCATACGGTATTTGTCTTTCTCTGACTGGCTTATTTTGCTTGGTATTAAACTATCTAGATCCATCCATGCTGATGTAAATGGCAAGATTTCATTCTTAGGGCTGAATAATATTTCACTGTGTGTGTGTACCACATTTTCTTTATCCATTCATCTATAGATGGACACTTGGGTTGCTTCCATATCTTGGCTATTGTAAATACTGCAATAAACATAGGGATGCATGTATCCCTTCAAATTAGTATTTTTGTAATCTTTGGGTAAATATCCAGTAGTGCAATTACTGGATTGTAGGATAGTTCTATTTTTAACTTTTTGAGGAACCTCCATACTGTTTTCCACAGTGGCTGCACCAGTTTGCATTCCCACTAACAGTGCATGAGGGTTCCTTTTTCTTCACATCCTCACCAGTACTTGTTTTTTGAGTTTTTTATTTTAGCCATCTGACAAGTGTGAGATGATATCTCATTGTGGTTGTTTGCATTTCCCTGATGAGTGATGTTGAGCATCTTTTCATATGTCTATTGGCCATCTATATGTTTTTTTTAGAAAAATGGTGATTTTACTACTATTGTCTTTTAATATTCATACTAGCTTTTTTAGTGATTGACCTATTAACTTATGAAGTTTTTTCTTTTCATAATTTTCTAATTATGACTTCTCTTTTTTTGCTTAAAGAAGTCCTTTTAACATTTCTTGTAAGGCTGGTTTAGTGGTGATGAACTCCTTTAACTTTTGTCTGGGAGACTCTATCTCTTCTTCTATTCTGAATACCCTTGCTAGTTGGAATATTCTTGGTTGTAGGTTTTTCCTTTCAGCACTTTGATTATATCCTACCTTCTGGCTTGCAAAAGTTCTACTGAAAAATCAGCTCATAGCTTCATGGGGTTTTCCTTACACGTAACCAGTTGTTTTTCTGTTGGTTGCTACTTTTAAGATTCTTTATCTTTATTCTGACATTTTAATTATCATCTGGCTGTGTAGACATCCTTGGGTTCATCTTGTTAGGGACTTTCTGTGCCTCCTGGACCTAGATGTCTGTCTCCTTCCCCAAGTTAAGGAAGTTTTTAGCTATTATTTCTTCAAAGTTTTCTGCCCCTTTCTCTCTCTCTCTCTTTCTCTCTCTCTCCCCTTTTTCTGGGACCTCTATCAAGTGAATGTTAGTACACTTGATATTGTCCTAAGGATCTCTTAACCTATTCTCATTTTTTAAAATCCTTTTAGGATTTTGCTGTTTAGCTTGGATGCTTTTCATTACCCTGTTTTCTACATTGCTGATCCTTTCTTCTGTATCCTCTCATCTACTGTTAATTCCCTTTAGTATATTTTTCATTTCAGTTACTTTATTCTTCAACTGGTTGGTTCTTTATCCTTTTTATCTTTGTTGAAGTTCAGAGTTTATCCACTCAAGTCCAGTGAGCATCTTTATGACTATTACTTTGAATTCTTTATCATGTAGATTGCTTGGCTCTGTTTCTTTCTTTTTCTGAAATTTTGCTTTGTTCTTTTGAAGCATATTCCTCTATCTCCTCATTTTGTTTGATTTTCTGTTTCTATGAATTAGGCAGAACAGCTATTTCTCTTAGACATGAGGTAATGGCCTTGTGTAGGAATATCTCCGGTGTAGACTATGCCTGTGACTTTAGCTGGCTGGCTGAAGCTGTAACAGGTGTAGGCTGGGAGTCCTGGGGTGTCCCAGGCATATAGCACCCTGGTGGGATGGCTGGAGCCAAAGCGGGCAGCAGGGGGTGGGAGTGGGTCCCACAGTGTTCTGCAATATGGGGCGTCCTGGCAAGGTGGCAGGAGCTGAAGTATAACCAGGTGGTCCTTGGGTACTCCGCTCAGGGGGGCGCCACGCCAGGACAGCTGGAACCAAAGTGGCCTTGGGCTAGGAGTCACAGGGTGCTCCATGTAGAGTGCTCCTTGATGGGACAGCAGGAGCTGAAGCAGGTGTGGGCCTGGGGGTCCCGAGGCACTCCATTCAGGGAGTACCCTGACAGGATGGCTGGAGCGAAGACAGATGCCAGCCAGGAGGTCTCAGGGCTCTCTGCACTTGGGGCGCCCTGGCGGGACAGATGCTGCTGAAGCAGGTATGGGCTGGGAGGTCCTGGGCCACTCGGTACAGTAGGTGCCCTCGTGAGTCATCTAGAGCTGAAGCGGTGTCGCACAATGATTGTGCCTGTGTTGCCTTGGCAAGACAGCTGGAGCTATAGTGGGTGCTGTCCGGGGGTGGTTCAGTGTGCACTTCACTGGGGCTACCTTAGGGAGACAGAGCTCTAGCGGGCGAGGGTTGGAGGGCCACCTGTAGGGGCAGCTGGATTTGGTGGGGTTTGGTGGGCTAGGGGCCCGGGCTCACTGTGGCAGGTGGCTAGGGTGCCCAGACCTTGCTTTTGTCGGTGCTATGAAGTGGGAGGGGAACATGAGCCATGGCACTCACCAGCACCTTTGATACTGGTGTGTTCCAGCAGCTCCCTGGCCTTTTGGCAGATGCCCTTAGAACTCATTCCATTATCTTGCAGTTGTTCTTTTAATCTATAGCCTTTTTTTTCCTGTGCAGTAGGGCAGCTGGGGCTAGTGGGGCCCTAAGGGACTGAGGCTCACTGATGCAGCAGGCCAGCTCCCATCTCTGCTATCAGGGTGGACAGGGAATATGAACAATGGTGCTGGCCAGTACCTGGGACCCAGGGAGACTCCCTGCCGTTTTTCAGATGCTCTAGAGCTGGTTCCTTCATATTCTAGATGCTCTTTTAAAGTGCGTCTTTTTCCTCTCTGCCACAGGGCTGAGCTATACTTCTGGTCTCTGGATACTACCTTCCCCACTGCAGTTGGCAAGATGGGGGCGTGGCGGGGGAGGGGGTTGGATTACTGTTACTGTGTCTCTCTCTCTCTCTCTCGTCTTTATCCCTCTATCCCTGTTGAGTCAGCCCTAGTTCTTCAGGGGGAATTGCTCAACATGTAGGCGTAGATTCACTGTGTGGAGGAGGTGAGCTGAGGGTCTTTCTGCATCATTGTCTTCCCTCCTTTGTAAACAAAACTTTTAGGTGTCTATGAACACATAATGAAGTTATTATAATTTTAGTCTTAGAAGTTTGCTAGAGAAGTATCACTGTTCCTAAAATATTTTATAACCCTGGCACTTGATAGAATGATTCTTAAAAGCTGCTTAATCTTCCCATTTTCTGCTCTCATGGGCACATAGGTTGAGAAATCTAGCTATCACCATTTACTTCTACTTTGAGGGTTAAATTTTAAAACATACTAATGGCACTTTGAGAATTGAGACCTTGTTTTCATATATGAATCCAATACTAGTCTCTTTGAAAGTCAAATTGTTTTGGATGTGCCATGAATACCATTTTTAAATATACACAAAAGCTACCTTTGTATGGAGTTGAACGATCTGATCTGCCTCCTGACTTCTTGGTTTTATTTTAGCTGAAGTTATCCAACCCCCAGTAACTTTGGTTGTATTGTGGGGAAAGAGCAACTTTATTCGTGTGGGAAAAGCCAGAGTTGACTTCTGGGTTCCACCTTCATGGCAGGAAGAGGACTCAGGAAAAGCTGGCCACAAATGCCTAAGTTTGCCCAAGTGCCCAGCGTGGGCTTGGCCTTGGAAAGCTTGTGTTACCCTGTTTCCTAACGACCTTTGGGGAATACCTGCAGATAAAGCTCATTAAAATGTCAAAACCTGGTAGTGCATTCTCTAGCTGTAGAGAAATACAGGAGAGGTGGGGAAGGAATACACTATAGTGGTTTTCCCATGTTAGAACTCTGTGGATTTCACTGGACTTTTGGAGTCACCTAGTCTCCAGTTTTTGGTAAGATACCTTGAGAGAGAATTTACCACCTCCTCCAGGTCCCGGCTGTCTTTAGACAATGAGGTAAAGATTTCCTTTTACTTCTGCTTTCTGTGTAAGATGGCTAAGCAAGCAAGAACTCTCTGAGAACATTTCCTCTTCCACACTCATTACCGTGGAGTTGCTCCACTCTGATTCCTTGAGCTTTATTGATTGAAGTCAGAGGGTTATTTATATTTGATGTGCCTGGTGGCACCGGTGTTCACAAAGCATATGGAAGACCTTTGTGGTAAGTATAAGACTACTCAAGGACAAAAGCATTTTCTCACCAAAAGCTTTCCAGAAATATACCTTACAAAGGCTCTGTGAAGCATGCTCTCTGGAGATTATACATAATATATACATAATTATTATATGTAGTTACATATCTAATTTATGGAAGGTAATGGTCTTAATCTTTGATTAGTAAGCATGACTTTTAAAAAGTGAATGACATTTCATTGAAAATTACTTTTGAGAATATTATATGCAATCAGTTGTTTATTGGAAGTGACTTGGGAAAGCAGCAGAGTGCGTAGAAGATTGTATTAAGTGCCTTACAAGATGTAATTCATCTATTTAGTGTTTTAAAAATAAAAAATTAAGGTTTCATCCAAAAGGTAATCCTGTTTATCATTTATTTTTTTTATTCAGGTGATATAAACATTCAGTATGGTTTTAAAGCAGTTCTCACCTCTAAGCTTCTTTCCACAGCTTCTTTTCCCTAAGTGGAAAGACTTCATTTTCATTTCTGAGAACTTGGTAGCTTTTCCTGGCATAATGAAGAACATGTTATAGATTCAGGCTTTTAGGTTTCTTAACAGTATGTTTGATCTTTCATTCTTTTCCTGAGATTTCTTCTCTGCCTTTATTAGTAAAGCCTTCTGTCTCTGGAAATTTTGTTAAATCAGAAAGACTTCCAAAAATCCCCTCTGCTATGGAGAAGACAGGAGCCCCTTAGTCCTCATTTCATGGAATTGCATTTAATATTTTTGGTCTTTTCAGACTGACCCCAATTCTTGGCATTCAGAAGCATTCTCAGGAAAATGTGGTGTTTACACAGTTTATAGAGACTTTGCTTGAAGAATTAAATTTAAAGAATGAAGACCTTGAAAGCTTAACCATCATATTTAAAACCAGCTGTTAACCACAGAGTGGTGAGTTAGATTGTGTTTTGTTTTTTCATTTGTTGCCTGTTTGGAATCTTTTTTCATATTCAAAATTTAAAAACCAAGTATAGACCTCAAGATCTCCTCAGTTTGCTAAGGAAGAACATGATATCCCTTAGTTCTCAGCCACCCTATCACTTTCTATCCACTCCTATTACTTAGTACCTCCCCCCCCCCCCCCAATCCTTGTTGTTATTCCTCCTTCTATTTCTGGTACTCGAGAAAACTCTCTCCTACCAGCTTCACACTCAAACCTAGACCATGGCATGCCTCATGTCCCACCTTACTGGTTGAAGTAAATTGCTATTTCCTGGGAAGTGCAGCCATCCACTGAGAACATCCTCATCCTACTTCCCTTTTTGAGGAAACCATCCCCTACCCAGTCACTACTTTAGTCATCTCCTGGGCAGATAACTAGATAAATGTGTAAGTCCTACTGTTGAATCCCGACCCTGTTCCCCGGCACACAGCCCTCCCCTCGTCTCCCAGGTTCTTGCCTCTTTCACAATTATCAGAGTGTCCCCTCCTTCAACCTGCCTTTGGCATACCTCTCTCCCTTTCCTCCACTTCTCACTTCACTCTCTCAGGTGCTCAGATAGGTATTGATTTAACGTTATGATTGAAGAAATTCAGCTGAAACTACAAGTGAGACCCTCCCAGGGAACTTTTTTTTTATTTCAATTTCTTAAATTATACAAGCTTGTTGTAAAAATTGAACAATACAAAAGTGTATATGTAATTTAGAAAAGGAAAATCCACCTCTCACTCTCCCTCCAATCCTGTCTACTTAGCAGAAACATGTTTGAGATATATATCATTTTTTGTAAAAACAGAACCAAAAAACTCTTCAAGCACATTTTTGAATATATGAGAAGGATATTTGAGAGAAGAATTTTGGCAGGGAAGAAAGAACATCCCTTTATTGAACATGCTCAAAAATTGAATGTAAGAAGTCAGCACTGTCTTCTCCTCCCAATTTATACCCACTGGCTTTTTCATATGACCCTGCTTCCCCCGAGAACCTTGTAAAACAAAAGCTTTTCCTTAGGGAGTGAGCTCAGATTGGCATGTATAAGCATTAATTCAGAGGCCCTTCTAAGAATACAGTGAAGTTGGAGTTTTTTGTTTTATTGAGCTTCAGGTACAGAAAATCGATAAAAAAAAAAATCTTAACCAGAAGTCCTTCCAGATCTGCTTTAGTGAATAGTACCAAGTAAGAATCATTTTTATTAGCATATTTAAAACTTGTATATAAACAGATATTGAAAGTCCTCAAAAGTACTTTCACACCAATAGATGTTTTCAGTTTCCTCTGTGATCATTTTACTTACACACATAAACAATGTAAATCATCAAAAGTAAACCTTGGCCAAACCTTTAGTATTATAAGCGATTCTGAATGAATTGAGCCCTCATACATAATTTGCCCTATGAGAAGAAGAGAGTTGTGACTAGGTAGAGTTTTATTTCTCTTTACATGATTTTTGTAAATCATAAGTTCACTTGTATATAATGACTAATGTCTAATATACTTGCTAATAGTAATTTAATATTGAAAAGGTTGTATTAATGTGTTTTCAGTTGCAAATAAAATCCAGCTTTTTTTTTTTAAGATTTTATTTATTTATTCATGAGAGGCAGAGGGAGAAGTAGGCTCTCCGCTGAGCAGGGAGCCCAATGCGGGACTCGATCCCAAGACTCCGGGATCATGACCTGAGCCAAAGGCAGACGCTTAACCATCTCAGCCCTGCAGGCGCCCTCCAGCTTTTCTTATGATAGAATGATAGTTAACTTTTGCTGCTTAACAGATTATTCCAAAGACTTTTTATCTCACACTTTCTATGAGTCAGGAATCTGGACACAGTTTAGCTTTGGGCCTTAGGCTCACAGTCTCTCCTGAGTATGCAGTGAAGCTGTTAGGGCTACAGTGTCATCTGAAGGCCCAACTAGAGGGCGATCCCTTTCTAAGGTCACTCTTGTGGTTGTTGGCAGGATTTAGTTCCTCAGAGGCTGCTGCACTCAGGGCCTCAGTGTCTCACTGGCTGTCGTCCAGGGACCTCTACATAGTGTACCTCGTACTTGTCATGTGCCTTACCCTCATAGTGAGTAAGATGGAAGCCACAGTTTTGTAACTAATCTAAGAAGTGACATCCCATCACTTTTTCCATGACAAGTTACAAATTAATCACTAGGTCCACCCCACATTCAAGGTGAAAGGACTGCATAATGGCATGACTACTGAAGCCAAGGGTTGTTGGTGGCCATCTTCGAAGCTGAGTGGCAAAATTTTTCAGGAGTTCCCAGCTTCGTATGTAGTATATTCCAATGTCTGGGTAAACGTCTTGAACTTCATACTAATTGAGGGCACCAAACCACATGCCCATGGGATTGCTATAAACTAACCCAATCATCCTGACAAAAGATGGGAGAGAGAAGAGGATTTTCTTACTGACCTAGACCCATCACAGCCTTCCCTCAAGCTGAATGTGAGTTGGGTCTATTCCACATCAATCACTATTGCTACATAATGAGGAAAAAATGCAATGTATATTGGGAAAACAACACACAGTGTTCCCAAAAGCTAGTAAAATATTTTAGGTGTTTTATCCAAACTGTCTTTTTTGTTTCACAGGTATAATCCATGAAGACCAAATAGAAGATGATCGTCTATTCATCATTTCTGGAATTCTAGCTACAATAATGTTCTGGTGGTAACTGATAACTAGCTTTGTTCCAAGAAAGACCTCCTTAGATTTCAGCCCCCTGCTTCCCAGTCCCTAACTGTACAGTGACTTCCCCTAGATAGAGGAGAACCATTTTTCCAATAAGGATAACCAAGTCCTTGCATCCCTAGCTGTAAGACATAAGATTTAAATTTTCAAGTAAATAAAAATACTAAGTTGAAACGTTAATAAATATTGATCTTATTGGTTGACAAACATTTGAGAACATTCCCATTTTGGCCTCACAATCTAAACTCTAGATTCTAAAAACAGTGAAGAGTTCAATAAATGCAATCTAAGATGAAGCCCTTTGGAAGTGTAGTCACTATTCTTTTAAAGAAACTGTGCTATAAAATGGTCCTGAGCAGTGTAGTTAATCAAGTCCAAAACAGGAATATTCCAGAATTTTGTGGACTCAACTAGAAAAAGGAAACTGTAGTTTATTTTCAAAATTTACAGTTTTTTCAAAATGTCTGTCAAGCATGTAAGTTACAAGGCCTCCAGAGCAGTTAAGGGGGGGGGGCCCTCAGACAATTTGGGAAGCCTTACTGGAGGGCCAAGAAACAAAATAAGAATCAGATCTACACTCTTGGACACTGGAGGAAATGACAGCTGCTAGAAGTCTAACCATGGAAAGGGTCCAGAAAGCAGCCTGGTGGAGTGAGGAGCCTAATGGACAAGAATCTACAAGTTCAGTAAGTCACAGGCTACAATATACAGAAATCAGCTGTTTTTGTATATTAGCAATGAAAAATCCAAAAAGGAAGAAAATTCCATTCGCAGTAGCACCAGAAAGAATTCAATACTTAGTAAATTTAACAAAAGAAGTACAAGACTTGTGGGGTGCCTGGGTGGCATAGTCAGTTAAGCGTCTGACTCTTGATTTCAGATCATGTCCTGATCTCAGTGTCTTGAGATCGAGCTGTGGGTTAGCTCATGCTCAGCAGTCTGCTTGAGATTCTCTCCTTCTCCCTCTGCCCCTCCCACTTATGTGCTTGCTCTCTAAAATAAAAAAATCCTTAAAAATAAATGGAGTGTAAAACTTATATAATGAGGGGCACCTGGGTGGCTCAGTTGGTTAAGCATCTGCCTTTGGCTTGGGTCCTGATCCCAGGATCCTGGGATCAAGCCCCACATCAGGCTCCCTGCTCAGCAGAGAGTCTGCTTCCTCCTTTCTCTTTCCCTCTGCCTCTCCCCTGCTCATGCTCTCAAATAATAAAAATCTTAAAAAAAAAAAAAACTTGCATAATGAATACTATAAAACAGACATTAAAGAAGGCATAGAGATATTCCACGTTTATGAATTAGAAGTTTCAGTTATTAAGATGGTAGTCCTCGGGCGCCTGGGTGGCTCAGTCGTTAAGCGTCTGCCTTCGGCTCAGGTCATGATCTCAGGGTCCTGGGATCAAGCCCCACATCGGGCTCCCTGCTCCGCGGGAAGCCTGCTTCTCCCTCTCCCACTCCCCCTGCTTGTGTTCCCTCTCTCATGTCTCTCTCTCTCTATCAAATAAATAAATAAAATCTTTAAAAAAAAAAAAAAATGGTAGTCCTCCCCACATTGGTATAGATCAATGCAATCCCTCTTAAAATCCCAGTAGGTTTTTTTTGAAATATTTTCAAGCTGATCCTAAAATTTCTAGGGAAATACAAAGGATTTCCAAAATAGCCAAAACAATTTTGAAAAACACTTCCTGATTTCAAAACTTACTACAAAGCTACAGTAAGCAATACAGTAGGATACTGATAGGCATAAAGATCAGTGGGGCAGAGGGGCAGCTGGGAAGATGGCTGAGTAGGAGGATGTTAAGCTCCCTTTGCCCCATGGATACAAGTAGGTAACACTCACATCAGTATAAACCCAAAAGATGATGCAAAGACTGGCAGGATGAACTCCACAACTAAATAAATGGTAGACAAGAGGCCACATCAAAGAAGGTAGAAAGGACAAAGACATGGTCCGGGAGCAAAGCGGACTAGGGCCATCCGCAGCGGGAAGGGAAACAGTGGCACGAAGGACAGAAAACACTTTCACACTGGGGAGCCCATAAATGGGGAGGACGAATCCCCATAATATTTGCCTTTGAAAGTGAGAGGAGGCCAATTTCTTGAGTTCTTACAACCACTGGGACTTAAGAGGCAGGAATTTTTAAATCAATGGGCTCAGCTCCAGGAGAGCCTGGAGGGCATTAGGAAGCAGAGTTCCCACCCCTAAAGAGTCTTGGACAGATACAGCACAGAACCAGCAGTTTGAAAACACCAGCAGTAGATGGGAAGGAGAGTGAGTTGTTCATCTCAGAGCATGGCCTGGAGAGAGGGATCACAGGGAGACCCCTCTAGGAACAAGGGAGCCAGCGGGTGCCATTTCCCTCCCCTGCCCACCACATAAACAACGGATACCTGCAGGAATCATTGCAGCACTAACATCTGTTACCTAACTTGCTTACACCAAGCCCCACCCCACCCTTGTGCGGATCCACCCTTCCCAGTCATGATCACCTTAGTCCAGTCACTGTGGGCCCCCTCCCTGAGAAGACCCGTGGAAACCCTGCCAACACCACATCTAACTGGCACATTGTGCAGGAACTCTGTTCTGGCGTGAGCAGGTCTCATTTCACTAGCAAACCACCACACACCTTGTTAAACACAATAGGCAAACACAAACACAGACAACCGGACTGAAGAAAAGAGAGGGCAAGACTCAACAGCAGAGCACACACAACACCCATAAGAGACATTCCCTGAAGCACCAGGCCCTGGAGAACAAGGAACACTGCACGAAAAGATCTCTTCTACATAAGGCTTTTATAGTTAAGAGCAAGAGAAGTAGCTGACTTTCCTAACAAAGAAATAGACACAGGAAGTCCGACAAAACAAGGAGACAGGGAAATAGCTCTTAAATGAAAGAACAGGACCAAACCACAGCAAGAAATCAAAGCAAAATAGCTGTAAGTGGTATGCCTGATAGAAAATTTAAAGTAATGATCATAAAGCTACACACTGGACCTGAGACAAGTGTGGAGGACATCAGTGAGACCCTTAACACAAAGATACAAAAGAATCAGATAAACAACACAATAAATGAAATTTAAAATACACTTGATGGAACATAGAGGAGGCTAGATAAAGCAGAGGAAATAAAAACGACTTGGAAGACAGTAATAGAAAGTAAGCTGAGCAAAAGAGAAGAAAGAAAATAGGCAGATCGAGAATAGTCTTAGAGAACTCATTGATTCCATTAGTGTAATAACATTTGCATTACAGGGATCTCAGAAGAGAGAGAAAGGGGGGCAGGAAATTTATTTCAACAAATAGCTGAAAAATTCCCTATATATCCAGGAGATCCACATATCCACATCCAGGAGGCACAGAGATCTCCCCCACACACCACCAAATTCAACCCAAGGAATTCCACACCAAGACACACAGTAATTAAAATGGCAAAAAGTAGCAATAAGGAAAAAAAATTTTGCAGCTTTTTCAGCAGAAACTGCAGGCCAGAAGGGGGTAGCAGGATATATTCAACATGCTGAAAGGGAAAAATCTAGAGCCCAAAATACTCCTATCTACAAGGATATTGTTCAGAATATAAGGAGAGATCAAGAGTTTCTCAAAAAAGGAGTTCCTGACCACTACTAAACCAGCTCTATAAGAAATATTAATGGGGACTCTGAATGGAAAGGAAAGACCTTAAGTTGAGAGTATGAAATGTAGGAAAACACAAAAGTAGTAAAAAGTATTTCTGTAAAAAAAAAAAAAAAAAAAAAATCAGTCAAGGGTTTCACAAAAAATAAAAGGATGTAAAATACCATATACCTAAAACTTGTGGGGCAAGAAGAGTAAAGAATGGGTTTGAACTTAAGTGACCATCAACTGCTATATGCAGAAGATACTATATATAAATCTAATGGTAACCACAAATCAAAAACCAGTAACATATCAAAGAATAAAGAGAAAGGAATTCAAGTATATCAGTGAAGAAAGCCAATAAACCATGAAAGTAAGGATCAGAGAAAATCTACAGAAACAACCACAAATAAGTAACAAATTGGCAATACTTATTTATCAGTAATTACTTTGAACATAATGACTAAACACTCCAAAAGACATTTTTTTTATCTACTCCATCACCCTATAAGATCCATCTATATGCTACCTGTAAGAGACTCATTTCAGACTGAATGGCACCTGCAGATTGAAAGTAAGGGGATGGAGATACATTTATCAAGCAAATGGAAGTCCAAAGAAAGCTGGAGTAGTAATACTTATATCAGACAAAATGCCTTTAAAACAAAGACTGTAACGAGACAAAGGACACTATATACTAAGAAAGGGGATAATCCAACAAAAAATACAATAACTGTACATATTTATGCACCCAACATGGGAGCACCCAAATACATAACAGTTATACAAACACAAAGGAAGTAATTGATAGCAATACAGTAACAATAGGGGACTTTAATACCTCACTCACACTAATGGACAGATCATCCAAACAGCAAATCAAGAGGGAAACAGTGACTTTGAATGACACACTGGACCAGATAGATTTTACGGACATATTCAGAACATTCCATCCTAAAAGAGCAGAATACACATCCTTTTCAAGTGCATATGGGATGTTCTCCAGAATAGATCACATGTTAGGCCACAAAACAAGTTTCAACAACAACAACAAAAGAAAAAAAAAAAAAGTACTCTCATGCATCTTTCCTACCACAACACTATGGAAATCCATCACAAGAAAAAAATCTGGGAATAATACAAATACATGGAGGCTGAATAACATGCTACTAAACAATGAATGGGTCAACCAAGAAATCAATGAGGACATCAAAAATTACATGGAAACAAATGAAAATGAAAACACAACAGTCCAAAATCTCTGGGATGCAGCAAAAGTGGTTCTAAGAGGGAAGTTTATAGAAATACAGGCCTCCTCAAGAAGCAAGAAAAATCTCAAAGCAACCTAACCTTACACTTAAAGGAGCCAGAAAAAAAACAATAAATGTAACCCAGAACCAGTAGGAGGGAGAAAATAATAAGGATTAGAGCAGAAATAAAATAGAAACTAAAAAAACTACAGAGCAGATCAATGAAACAAGGAGTTGATTCTTTGAAAAGATCAATAAAATGGATAAACCTTTAGCCAAACTCCTTAAAAGGGAGTGGGACCCAAGTAGGCAAAATAACTAATGAAAGTGGAGAAATAACCAACACCACAGAAATACAATTATAACAGATTAGGAAAACCTTTATGTCAACAAAATGGACAACTTAGAAGAAATGGATAAATTCCTAGAAACCTATTACCTACCAAAACTAAAGCAGGAAGAAATAGAAAATTTGAACAAACCAATTACCATTAATGAAATTGAATCAAGTAATCAAAACACTTCCAAAAAACAAAAGTCCAGAACCAGACAGCCTCATAGGTGAATTCTACCAAACATTTAAAGAAGAGCTAATACTTATTACTTTCAAACTATTCCAAAAAATATTAGAGGAAGGAAAACTTCCACATTCAGTCTAAAACCAGATAAAGGCCAAAACCAGATAAAGATACCACAATAGAACTACAGTCCAGTATCTCTCATGAATATAGATGCAAAAAACCTCAACAAAATATTAGCAAACCCAATCCAACAGTATATTAAAAAAAAAAAAATCATTCACCACAACCAAGTGAGAGTTATTACCAGACACAAGGCTGGTTCAATATGTGCAACAATCAATGTGATAAATCAATAGGATAAAAACCATATGATCATTTCAGTAGATGCAGGAAGAGCACTTGACAAACTACAAATCACTCATGATGGAAACCCTCTGCACATTAGGTCTAGAGGGAGCATAACTCAACATAATAAAGGCCATATATGAAAAACCCACAGCCAACATCATACTCAATGGTGAAAAACAGAGCTTTTCCCTGTTTATCAGGGAAATAAGACATGGATGTCCACTGTCACCACTTTTTTTTTTTTTAAGATTTATTTATTTTAGAGAGCATGCATGAGTGCGCACCCAAGGAGGGGAGGGAGAGAGAAACTTTAGCAGACTCTACATTGAGTGCAGAGCTTGATATGGAGCTCAATCCCATGATCCTGAGATCACTACCTTAGCTGAAGCCAAGAGTCTGATGTTTAACCAACTGCACCACCTGGATGCCCCTCTCACCATTTTTATTCAGCATAGTACTGGAAGTCCTACCCACAGCAATTCAACAACATAAATAAAAGGCATCCAAATTGGTAAGGAAGAAGTAGAAGTTTCACTATTTGCAGATGACATGATTGTATACATAGAAAATCCTAAAGACTCCACCAAAAAACCACTAAAACTGTTACGTGAATTCAGTAAAGTCGCAGGATACAAAATCAATGTACAGAAATCTGTTGCATTCCTATAACTAATAATGAAGCAGCAGAAAGAGAAATTAAGAAAACAATCCCATTTACAATTGCACCAATAATAATAAAATATCAAAGAATAAACTTAACCAAAGAGGTGAAAGACCTGTACTCGGAAAACTGTAAAACATTGGTGAAATTGAAGATGACATAAAGAGGGGCGCCTGGGTGGCTCAGCTGGTTAAGTGGCTGCCTTCAGCTCAGGTCATGATCCCAGGGTCCTGGGATCAAGCCCTGCATCAGGCTTCCTGCTCAGCGGGGAGTGTGCTTCTCCCTCTACCTCTGCTCCCCCACCCCCGCTCATGCTCGCTCTCTCAAATAAATCTTTAAAAAAAAAATGAAGATGACACAAAGAAATGGAAAGACTATTCCATGCTCATGGACTGGAAGAACAAATATTGTTAAATGTCTATACTACCCAAAGCGATCTATACAATTAATGCAATCCCTATCAAAATACCAATAGCATTTTTCACAGAACTAAAACAATTCTAAAATTTGTACGGAAATACAAAAGACCTTGAACAGCCAAAGCAATCTTGAGAAAGAAAAAACGGGCACCTGGGTGGCTCAGTAGGTTAAGCACCTAACTCTTGATTTTGGTTCAGGTCATGATCTCAGGGTCATGAGATTGAGCCCTGTGTCAGGCTCCGTGGTCAGTGGGGAGTCTACTTGAGCTCTCGCCCTGCTCCTCCCCCACCTCTCTCCAATAAAAGATCTTAAAAAAGAAAAGAGAAAAAACTGGAAGTATCACAATTCCAGATTTTTGCTATATTGCAAAGTGGTAGTAATTAAAACAGTATGGTACTGGCATAAAAACAGACACATAGATCAATGGAATAGAACAGAAAACCCAGAAATAGACCCACAATTCTATGGTCAATTAATCTTCCACCAAGGAGGAATGAATGTGCAATGGGAAAAAGACAGTCTCTTCAACAAATGGTGTGCGGAAAACTGGACAACCGCATGCTAAAGATAGAAACTGGACCACTTTCTTACACCATGCACAAAAATAAACTTATAAATGGATTAAAGACCTAAATGTGAGACCTGAAACCATAAAAATCCTAGATGAGAAGATAGGCAGTAATCTCTCTGACACTAGCCATAGCAACATTTTTCTAGATAGGTCTCCTGAGGCAAGGGGAATAAAAACAAAAATAAACTACTGGGATTACACCAACAAAGTTTCTGCACAGTGAAGGAAACAAATCAAGAAAACTAAATGGCAACTACTGAACAAGAGAAGATATTTGCAAATGACATATCCAGTAAAGGGTTAGTATCCAAAATATATAAAGAAATGATACAACTCAATACCCAGAGAACAAATAATCCAAGAAAAAAATGAGAACACATGAACAGACATTTCTCCAAAGACATATACAGATGGCCAAAAGACACACGAAAAGATGCTCAATAGTACTCATCATCAGCAACATGCAAATCAAAACCACAATGAGGTATCACCTCACATCTGCCACACTGACTAACATAAAAACACAAGAAACAAGTGCTGGCAAGGGTGTGGAGAAAATGGAACTCTTTTGCATTTTTTTTTTTTTAAGATTTTTATTTATTTATTTATTTGACAGAGAGAGACACAGCGAGAGAGGGAACACAAGCAGGGGGAGTGGGAGAGGGAGAAGCAGGCTTCCTGCCAAGCAGGGAGCCCGATGCGGGACTCGATCCCAGGACCCTGGGATCATGACCTGAGCTGAAGGCAGTCGCTTAACCAACTGAGCCACCCAGGCGCCCTCTTTTGCACTCTTGATGGGAATGCAAACTGGTGCAGCCACTGTGGAAAACAATATGGAGTTTCCCAAAAAAATTATATATAGAACTACCCTATGATCCAGTAACAGCACTACTGGATATTTATCCAAAGGATACAAAAAACAGTAATTGAAAGGAATATATGCACCCCTATGCTTACTGCAGCATTATTTACAATAGCCAAACTATGGAAGCTGCCCATGTGTCCATCAAAAGATGAACAGATAAAGAAGATGTGGCATTTATATACAATGGAATATATTTTTAAGCCATAAAAAAATGAAATCTTGCCATTTGTAATGACATGGACAGAGCTAGACAGTATAATGCTAAGTGAGTAAGCCAGAGAAAGACAAATATCATATGATCTCATCTGTGGAATTTAAGAAACAAAACAAAGAAGCAAAGAAGAGAGAAAGAGAGAAAAACTAAGAAACAGACCCTTAACTATAGAGAATACACTGATGGTTACCAGAGGGGAGGTGGGTAGATAGATGGGTGAAATAGGTGATGGGGATTAAAGAGTACCCTTATCACGACAAAAAAAAAAAAAAAAAAAATCAATGGAACAGAATTGAGAGTCCATGAGTAAACCCTCATATTTATGGTCAATTGATTTGCAATGAAGAAAGGATGGTCTCTTCAACAAATGGTGCTGGAATGTTTGGATATCAGATACAAAAAAGGTGAATTTAGACCCTTACCTACCACCATATGCAAAAATAAATTCAAAATGGATCAGAGACCTAAATGTCAGAACTGGAAGTATATAACTTTTAGAGCAAACAGGAGAAAACTTACATGACATTGGTTTATAATGAGAGTTCTTACATATGATGCCAAACATACAATCCATAAAGAAAACTTTAAGTTAGACTTCATCAAATAGAAGAGGAAGGAAAACTTTCAAACTCATTCTATGAGGTCAACATTACCATGATCCCAAAAACAAAATAAAACTACAGGCCAGTATCTACGATAAATGTATACACAAAAACCCTCAACAAAATATAAGCAAACCAAATTCAACAATACATTTAAAAAGTCATTCACAACGACCAAGTAGGATTTATTCCAGGGATGCAAAGGTGGTTCAATATTGCAAATCAATGTGATATATCACATTAATAAGACAAAATATAAAAACCATACGATCCTCTCAATAGATGCAGGAAAAAAGCATTTGAAAAAGTACAACATCCATTCATGAGAAAAACTCTCAACAAAGTCGGTTTAAATATTACCTAAAATTTAATACCTAAACATAATAAAGGCCATGTATGAAAAACACACAGCCAACATCACTCAGTGGTGAAAAACAGCTTTTCCTCTGAGGTCAGGAACAAGACAAGGATGTCCACTCTCTCACCACTTTTATTCAACATAGTACTGGAAGTCCCAGCTGCAGCAATCAGACAACATAAATAAATAAAAGGCATTCAAATTGGTAAGGAAGAAGAGAAGACATGATACTATATCTAGAAAACCCTAAAGACTCCACCAAAAAACCTATTAGAACTGATAAATGAATTCAGTAAAGTTGCAGGATTCAAAATTTATAGAAATCTGTTGTCTTTCTCTACACTAATAATGAAGTAGCAGTAAGAGAAATTAAGATAACAATCCCATTTACAATTGCACCAAAAAGAATAAAATACCTATAGATCTTTAACCTCCTCCTTGGTTAAGAAGGTAAAAGACCCCTAACTCTGAAAGGAATTGAAGACCACACAAATGGAAAGCATTCCATGCTCGTGGTTTGGAAGAATTAATAACTGTTAAAATGTCCATACTACCCAAAGCAATCTACAGATTCAATGCAATCCCTATGAAAATACCAATAGCATTTTTCACAGAACTAGAATAATCTTAAAATTTGTATTGAACCACAAAGACCCCAAATAGCCAATGAAATCTTGAGAAAGAAGAACAAAGCTGGAGGTATCATAATTCCAGATTCAACATATACGGCAGAGCTATAGTAATCAAAAGAGTATATGGTACTGGAACAAAAACAAATAGATCAATAGAATAGCCCAGAAATAAACCCATGCTGATATGGCTAATTAATCTACAACAAAAGAGGCAAGAATATACAATGGAGAAAAGACAATCTTTTTAATAAGGTGCTGGGAAAACTGGACAGCTACATGCAGAATAGTGAAACTGGACCACTTTCTCACCCATACACAAATTAAACTCAAAATGGATTAAAGACCTAAATGTGAGCTCTGAAACCATAAAACTCCTAGAAGAAAACATAGTAACCTCTCTGACATCAGCCTTAGCAACTTTTTCTAGCTATGTCACCTCAGGCAATGGAAACAAAAGCAAAAATAAACTATTGAGACTACCCCAAAATAAAAAGCTTTAGCACAGCAAAGGAAACAAAATGAAAAGGCAACCTACTGAATGGGAGAGGCTATTTGCAAAGAAAGGAGAGATCTGATAAGGGGTTAATATCCAAAATATATTAAGAACTTATATAACCTAGCACCAAAACAAAATAAATTCCAGTTAAAAATGGGCAAAGGAAATGCACACCAAGAAAACAAATAATCCAATTAAAAAATGGGCAGAAGACATGAACAGACATTTCTCCAAAGAAGACATACAGATGGCCAACACACACATGAAAAGATGCTCAGTAGCACTCATCATCAGCAACATGCAAATCAAAACCACAATGAGGTATCACCTTGTACCTGTCAGACTGGCTAAAATCAAAAACACAAGAAACAAGTGTTGGCGAAGATGTGGAGAAAAAGGAACTCTCTTGCACTGCTGGTGGGAATACAAACTGGTGCAGCCATGGTGAAAAAACAATATAGAGGTCCCTCAAAAAATTAAAAATAGAACTGCCCAATGATCCAGTAATTGCTCTACTGGGTATTTACCCAAGGAATATAAAAACACTAATTCAAAAAGATATATGCATCCCTATGTTTACTGCAGCATTATTTACAATAGCCAAACTATGGAAGCAACCCAAGTGTCCATCCATAGATGAATGGATAAAGAGGAGGTGGTGTTTGTGTATACCGTGTGTGTGTGTGTCTACATATACATATGTAGACACACAATGGAGTATTACTCAGCCATAAAAAAGAATGGAATCTTGCAATTTGCAACAACATGGATGGATGTAGCAAGTATAATGCTAAGTTAAATAAGTCAAAGAAAGACAAATTCCATATGATTTCACTCAAATGTACAACTGAAGAAACATGAAGAGAAAAAAAAAAAGAGATAAAGCAAAAAAATAGACTCTCAACTATACAAAGCAAACAAGGGTTACCAGAGGAGAAGTGGGTAGGGGCTGGGTAAAACAGGTGAAGGGAATTAAGAGGACACTTATAATGAGCACGGAGTAATGTACAGAATTGTTGTATCACTATATTGTACTGCTGAAACTAATATAACACTATATGTTAATTATACTAGAATCAAAATATTTTTTTAAAGTGGGCAGAGGGATGCCTGGGTGGCACAGTAGGTTAAGTGTCCAACTCTTGGTTTCAGCTCAGGTCATGATCCCAGGGTCCTGAGATCAAGCCCCACATCAGACTCCACACTTAGCACTGAGTCTGCTTGAGATTCCCTCAATAAATAAATAAATAAATCTTTTAAAAAAATAAAATAAAAATAAAAATGGGCAGGGGACCTGAATAGACATTTTTTCAAAGACAGTAGATGGCCAACAGACACATGAAAAGATGCTCAATAGTATTAATCATCAAGGAAATGCGTATCAAAACCATAATGACATATCACTACAAACTAGTACAGACAGCTAGAATCAAAAAGACAAGAATGACAAGTGTTAGCAAGGATATGGAGAAGACAACCCTTGTGCTTTGCTGGTGGGAGTGTAAATTGGTGCAGCCACTGTGAAAAACAGTATGGAGCTTGCTCAAAAAATTAAAAATAGAAATAACCTACAATCCAGTAAACCCATTATTAGGTATTACCCAAAGAAAACAAAAATACTAATTCAAAAAGATATATGCACCCCTATGTTTATTGCAGCATTATTTACAATAGCCAAGATATGGAGCAACCCAGTTCCAATAATGAACCCAAGCTCATTAATAGATGGATAAAGAAGAGGTGGTATATGTGCATATACATATATATAATGGATTATTACTCAGCCATAAAAAAGAATGAAATCTTGCCATTTGTGACAAGATGGATGGACCTAGAGGGCATTATTCTAAGTGGAATAAGTCAGAGAAAGACAAATACTGTATGACTTCACTTATACGTGGAATCTAAAAAACAAAACAAATTAAAAAGTCTCTTAAATACAGTGATCAAACTGGTAGTTGCCAGAGGGGAGATGTGTGGAGAGATGGACAAATGGATGAAGGGGATTAAGAGGTACCAACTTCCGGGGCGCCTGGGTGGCTCAGATGGTTAAGCGTCTGCCTTCAGCTCATGTCATGATCTCAGGGTCCTGGGATCGAGTCCCACATCAGGAGCCTACTTCTCCCTCTGCCTGCCACTCCCCCTGCTTGTATGCGCTCTCTCTCTGGCAAATAAGTAAATAAAATCTTAAAAAAAAAAAGAGGTACAAACTTCCGGTTATAAAATAAATGTCACAGAGATGAAAAATACAACATAGGGAATATAGTCAGTAATATTTTAATAACGCTGTATGGTGACAGATGGTGACTACACTTAAGATGAGCACTGATTAATGTATAAAATTGTTGAATTTATATGTTATACAACTGAAACTATTAACATTGTATGTTACTTATATGTCAATAAAAAAAAAGACAAGAAATAACAAGTGTTGGCGAGGATGGGAGAAAAGAGAATCTTCATGCATTGTTGGTGGAAATGTAAATT